TCCACCTACCAAACATATTAATGGCAAATATAGTAAATCAACTATAGTAAATCTTACTGGTTTGTGATTTAGTTGAACCAGTGCAACTGAGATCTGGATGCTGGAAAGTTACAAAAACACGGGCGATTGACCCAAACTTTGAAATCATATAGTGAATGCCAGACAAAAACTGATACAGTTCTCCAAGCAAAATGGTGAGATGCACCAACACAGTGAGGAGGTGGTACTTGTACATAACTGGCAAATATGGGCATGGCATATGACCAACTAGCTGTTTTTTTTTTTTACATATTTCTCCCTGAAAAAACAAAACAAACAACTAGAAATCTCGTCCCTAAATATTCATTGGCGAAACACACATATAGATTTTCTGTTTTTTTTGGCGAACGAAAAAGAAAACACATGCTTATATATGTATATATATATATACATATTAGTCAATTTACACATATACAATTTCCCCAATCAACAAATCCTAAATTTCCAACAGATTGGTGGGCAAACCATCAGCGGAAAGCATTTTCCGTCAGGCCTCACATCGCAAGCGTCGCGTGGGTGGTGCGTACCAAGCCCACGTGATGAACCAAGCAGCTGCGGCCCTGGGGCGCTTGCAGGAAGAGGTGCCGTCGGTGTTTCAAAGCACCGGGGGGAAACGGTGAACATGGGTCAGATATGCCATCTTGATGGGGATTTAACAGTGAACACGTGGTGAGTTCAACATGAAACATGATGAATCAATCCTTGAACATCAAAAACATGGGATTTACATTTGGGTTTGTCTGAAAATAGTGTACCCCTACACCCAATGGTTAATGATCATTGTCCCTACTAAATGGCTATAATTGGGGGTATACCCCATTTTCAGACATACCCATTTATATAGTCATCGAAAATGGGTATTTTGACCTTGATGCGGACACAGCCGGGGATTTTTCCGCGCAGCTGTATGGGGATTGAACACAGCACGGGAACTTCATCCTGTCAACAATGGAGATATTGGCCATGTGGAAAAACCAGAATGTGTGGATCCTATTCCTAGGCAAACCATTGGTTTTCCACATCTTTTTGTATGATTACAGCAGGGTACTCCGTAGTTATTGGGATGTAACAAGCTAGATTTGGGTGATTTAAGGAATGGATTCAAAAGACATGGGGATGACAATTCATTCAACCAGAAAATGAGCTGGAAGGTGAATCAAGATGTGGTGTGATTTCATCAATGTAGTAAAGCTTCTTGTTTGCAAAATAAACGTGTCCAATATCTACATATATCTATCTCTCTCTCTCTCTGTATACATACATACATAACATAGATGTATGCATGCATGCATGCATGCATACCTACCTACCTACCTACCCACCCACCTACATACATACATGCATACATACATACATACATACATACATACATACATGCATGCATACATACATACATATATATATATACACATACACATACGTATATTATTGCGCCATTGTTTCTTGAGGGTATTTATATACTTTCTCTGGAAAGGCACATATTCAACATGGTTCAAGCAAGTCAGGCACAAATGGGTCCACCACTCTTCAATGCTGACCTGGGATGAGTCGGGGTCCACCAAAAAAAAGGGCTGGAACTCTTCAGGTTGATCCATGAACAAAGGATGATCATATTGATACTAGCTGCTTCACATATACAAATATACATAGTTATGTATATATATATATATATATACATAAATACATATATATATATATACATACATACATACATACATACATACATACATACATACATACATACATACATACATACATACATACATACATACATACATACATACATACATACATACATACATACATACATACATACATACAACATACATACATACATACATACATACATACATACATACATACATACATATATTGATAGATATATACATAACTCAGGATACTTTGCATCTTCTGGGTTCATATCACTTGGCCAAGTCACCAGCCAGGGATCATGGCCCCGCGAGGTGTCGGCACTCCGACAGCGCATGGTGGCCATGGAGGACTGGACGAGAAATGGTGCAGTGTCAATGGCAGAGTCAAAGGAGATCCGGTAAATCATAAAACTCGACGTTTGGAACGTTGGACTCGTTGGTGGTTTGGTGGTTTATATTATGGTATATATATATATGGAATATATGGAATATATGGAATATATGGAATATATGGAATATATGGAATATATGGAATATATGGTATATATGGAATATATGGTATATATGGAATATATGGAAATGATCTGTAAATTGGTGGTTTGGAACATGATCTTATTTTATTCATAGATTGGGAATGTCATGATCCCAACTGACTTTCACTCCATCATTTTTCAGACTGGTAGGTCAACCACCAACCAGAAGAGTTTGACAAACGGTTCCAGTACTCTCCATTTTTTTTTCCGACGGAATTTCGGTGAAATGTATTTTCCAGAATTGAAGGGAAAATTCACAGCAAAACTTTTCTTTTCCGGGGTTGAAGCCATGCTTTCCTGTAAACAAATCCCTTCAAAAGAATCTATTGATCTATCCAGTGGTGAACGGAGGGAACGGTTCGGAGCTACGGATAGAATTTCCCAAACATCTGCTAGTGAGTATTTCTATGACTTGGGGAGTGCAGTTCCAGTGAACGACTGTAAGCGGCTATATATATATACATATGATATATATATATATATGTATATATATATACATATGATATCTATGTATATATATGTATATATATATACATATGATATCTATGTATATATATATACATATGATATATATGTATATATATGTATATATATATATATACATATGATATCTATGTATATATATATATATATGTATCTCTATATATATATATATAGATAGATAGATAGATAGACAGACAGACAGACAGATAGATAGACAGACAGACAGATAGATAGATATGGGCCCCATATCCCAACTTATGGAGGTGAATTCAGCATAGTATCCATGGTCAAGTCATCCATTGTGCCAGGCACCATGTGCTTCTGGTGCTCCAGCACCAGGTCCGGAAAGGAGATTTTCGAACGATGTCAGGGCGATTTCTGGATGGAACTTGGGGATTCAATCCCCCCCAAAAATTACCCTCTGGTTATGTCAAAATAGCTATTGAAAATGGCAAATTATAGTGGATTTTCCCATTAAAAATGGTGATTTTCCATAGTTATGTTAGTTTACCAGAGGGTAAGACACATGGATTTAATCATCCAAATTATGATGAACAAACCATCTACAAATAATGAACACGACCATGATAAAAAAAAACTAACATGAACCAATCAAAATAATGAAAAAAAATGGATTTAACCATCAACACATGATGGTTTTATCTAAGTGGGGGAATACCCCGTACATTTTCCCAAGGAAGTCCGTGAATTGGGTGTATCCCGGATGAACAACACCGACCGGATCTGTACAGATCTGTGTAGAAGATGTTGAACATTTCCCCCAAAAAATAGAACCATATCATATCATCAAGTCTTTCCCAAAAAGAACATAGACAAATATCATCAAGTTATCTCCTTCAGAAGTGGCAACCATAGCCACTGGCCATACAGGCTGTATCAGCGTAACCGGGATCACCTTCCAAGGTGCCCATGGACCAAGCCATTGTAGTACTGGGCATAGGTATTAAAGATACATGAAATGTCATTTTTACATATGTTTTACCATCTTGATCTAGCCAAAAAAAAACATCTCGCCTCTCTGGCGCCAGCAAAAAAAGGCTCTGATTTTTCCGGGATTTTCCAGGGAGTACTTCTCCATTTCACTGCACTGCAAGTATCGATGCAACATCCTACCACCACCCACGCAGCAGTAGATTCTACACCATTTTTTTTGAGACTAAGGTAGATAGGGTTTGACCACCTATAACAGGGGTTAGAAGCGTTACAATCTCTGGTAACCCCCAAAACAGATAGAATAAAGCTGAACCCCACAATGAAATCATGGTAATGTTGGAGTCTTTCTATCATCTTGGGGGTGACCCGGGGGTAAACAAATAAAAACAATCAAACACATGTGAAAAACCTATGTTTTAGCAAATCTCTTGGCTCCGCAGCTGTTTGGGGCCACCGCCCAAAACACGGAAATGCCGGCTTCACCCTCACGGTCACCTGAGAACTCCCCGCTGATCGCGGATGTGGAGCGAGGTGCGGGGTTTCAGATGGGTTTGTCTGAAAATTGTGTAACCCAAGGTTTGATGGTTTGTCATCATATTTCCTATTGAAGTGGCCATACATGGGGTGTACTTTATTTTCAGACACACCCATATGGGGATTTTATGGGATTCCGAGGTATCTAAGGTGAACCAGCCAAAAAATTGGGATTTCACCGAAGAATGGAGTTTTTTTGAATGCAAAACTGAGGGATAAATGATGCATAATTCATTGGAGATTTCACCAGCCATCATGGGGATGTCATATGGATTTAATTCTGGTTGGTGGTGACTGGAACCATGGACTGGATTATGACTTTCCATTCAGTTGGGAATGGAAAAATCATCCCAACTGACTTTCACTCCATCATTTTTCAGAGGGGTTGGTTGACACCACCAAGCAGAATTCATAGAAAGGGGGATGTCTAAAACGCGCCATGGCTTCGTCCATTTCAATGGGAACAAAAAACCCAAAGAGGCTTGGCGCCAGCTGCGTGCACCAACGCTGCCTGCCAACGTTGTGTAGTTTTCTTGGGTTGAAATGAACATAGCGATTCTTGTGGATCATACCATATGGATGTGTCTGAAAAATCTGAACATGGGGTGCAACCTCAATTTACGGCTTATTTTCATGGTTGAATATGATGATCAACCATGATCAACCGAGGCAAGAGTGGACTCTGCGAAGACAATGGTGACGTGGTGAAAACCGCTGGAGGGTGGAGGATCAGCTGGGAAATTCCTCGAACTCCATGGTGGTCTTTTCCATTGTGGGGCGCGCTCAGTACCGGAAGCCCTACTGGAAGGTTCCAACCCAGACACGCTTTCGAAACATTGCTCTTTTGGAGAAATCCCCTAGCCTAAGAGAGGCGACTCCAAGATGCTGATTCCCTCAATTGTGAGTGAAAATTGCCCTTTTTCTTAGCTAAACAAACTTAATTAGCTCACTATCCACGATTTACACCGACAGACAGCTGATTTTCCTGGTGCTGAAATGGTGCACCTTTCCGAGCTTTCCCACTGGTTGATTCTTCGAGGAGGAGGAACTCATCTTCCATTTTTCAGTGAATTATGAAAGTGTTTTTTCATCATAGAATAACCACTTATCAATCAGTGAATTATGAATAACCACTATGAATTATGAGGTTAAGATAAATCATGAATCAACTTTGAATCAACCAATCAAATACTGGTTGGTGCTGACTGGAACCATGGACTGGATTATGACTTTCCATTCAGTTGGGAATGTCATCATCCCAACTGACTTTCACTCCATCATTTTTCGGAGGGGTAGGTATACCACCAACCAGATCATGATAAAGCATGAGTCAACCAATCAAATATGAATACAATTGGGTTTTCTCCACTTACGAACAGCCTTTCTGAATTTTCCCATCAGATGTTCCCCATTTTTCAGCAGGTCGCAAGGTCGGATGACCCCCAGCAGCTTTGAGTCGAGGCATTCACAAAGGCTTGCTGAGACGAAAGGTTCAACGTGACCTGGCTGCTTCGAGGGGGAGGCAATCCATGGCAATCCTCAAAAAGCCCATCACGTTCCAAGAGTTTTTTTTGTGGGACAACGATCAATGGAGGATTTCGTGGGATCAATGGGGACGGAATCAATGGAGGTTTCTAGCTGGTAAAACCAACGACTCCCGACCCGGTAGTCACGTACAGAAAATCCACCGGAAAATAGTTCGTTTTGGTCCCAACGCTGGAATTTCGCCATGTGATTCCCCAAGGGGCACGGAAAGGCGATTCACCCACCTCTTGGAATTGGATGGAGATTTTTCAAGCCCAGTGAATTTCGATTTCTCCATTGAAAAACCCCAAATTTGATGGAGATCCAAGATTTTCAGAAAAACGTCCGTCTCAATTCTCAACAAACCAGCAAGTAATACCTACATCCTCTGGTTTTTCCAGTTTTTTTTCCAGTTTTTTTTTTTTAAATGTTTAACAACCCAAAAGCCACCTAGCTCCGCACCTGAGATGCCTTTGGCCATGAGAGCAATCCAAAGTTCGCAGAGCACGCAGAGCACGCCTTTCGTGGAGCCTGTGCAGCCTGGCGGGCGTTGATGTTGGGGATGACCATCGGATCCTGTCTTTTTGTGTTTTTTGTCGTTGGAGACGGAGAAGAAGTGACCTTTTATCAGTTTAAGTTACTATTGTTATTATTAGTATTTATTACTATTTATTATTTATTATTATTTCTTATTATTATTATTATTTCTTATTATTATTAATAATAATAATAATTATATATATATGTATATAGATGATCCTGTGGTTTTTGGGGTTTTGGGTCGTGTTGGAGAAGTCGTGAGTTGATATCCCCAGGGTCATTTTGGGTGCCAAGGCGTTGGTCTTTTTCGCCATCCCCTTGCTGATGCCCAAAGGCCACGATGGGAGCCGAAAATGGGGACACACAAAATAGTATTGCTTGGGGTGGGGCCCCCATACTTAGCTAAGTTTGTGAACATAACCCACAAAACTAGGGATTATGGTAGATATGGCTATGGATCAATACCTATTAATACCATTTTTAGGGGGATGAACATCCATTTACCAGCTATTTTGATGTTCACCAGGGGTACAAGGTTTTGACACACTGCCATATATCGAACTCGTCAATTTTCGGTCGCCCTTGGTGTTGCCAAAGATTTGCTCGGCAGGTGTCCTACCCTTGCGGGACTACCTCATTGATCTTGGTGTTTACAACAGCCGCTTGGCAGATGCCGGACTTGGGTGATGCCTCTTGAGTACTTGATTTCTTCCTAAACGATGGTCATGCAACTAATATAGGTACTACGCTATACCGGTATACATATATGTATATATATATACACACACTATATGTACATCTCTCTCTCTCTCTATATATATATATATATATCCACACAGTACATTATAGAATTGCCCAGCTCTGGCAATCTTTTTGATTGTGTGAATTGCAGGCATAGGTGAACTAACTCGCTTATCAAGCTGACAGCCCTTGGAATGTACGACGTCTGATCACCATTGGACTAGGTTAGCAGGAAAAGGGGCCGAATCCGTTGCCCACTGCACCTGCCCGGCCAAAAATTGCTTCCTAAAGGTATCAAACATCGTTTTTGATTTCCTTTTGATAGGGTAATTTTGACCCAGCCAGTAGGATAATATTTGTGGTAATCATAGGATATGTTTTGGATACCACTTTTTGGATGATCTGCCAGTCTTCCAGGCGGCGTGTGCCTCTTTATCATTTTTAACCTTGGCAGCAGCTTTGGCCACTGGGGCTGAACTTGGCTGAAAGGCCTTTGTGGCATGATGGCTTGAAAGGGACGTGGTAGATTAGGATCATTTCAAAAACAAACACATGAATATGACATGACATGATATGACATGATATGACTACACCCCTGAACATTTGCCATGTACATGCCATGTACATGCCATGGATTCGCATAGAACATGCCACAATTTCCTATGGGGCCTCGGGGCCGTGGTTCTGACTTTCAGCGGACGTCCCCACGGAGTCGATAAACCAGTCCCAATTTGGGGTTTATTGTTGGGTATACCCCTACTGTGGCTTGGATGGTTGAAACCCGAACTAAATCATGGGATGTTTTTACCACCTATCAACTGGTGATTCGGATTTCGCTGGCCCATCCACCGTATGACTGGGATGATTTAGAATAGTCCCAAATGGTCAGTGGGATGCTGGCACTTTGGGCTGCTTGATCTCGGGGGCCGGTCATCTTCTCAGGTACTTACCGATGTTTCTAGAAATCGAAACCTCACGTGTGATTTCCTGCCATGTTCAGTTATCACCTGATTATGTACATCCCTATGAGATGCCTATCATATATATATACACACATATTATATATAATTAATTATAATTAAACATATATATATATATATTAAAATAATATAGCTGTATCCCTCCGGCCTTTATACCCATTTTCGATCATGGATTTACCCTTCAATCCACCCGGCGCCACGGCACGAAAGTCAGGTCAGGCCTTCAACTCGTGTCGAAGTGGTCTGCAGGGAAGTTTGATGGCAGCCATGTTGGGCTGGCGCCTTGGCGTCATTGAGCTACCAGACATTTTGAAACGGCCGTCATTTTTTTGGGCTATGTAAAGGTCCGCAGAAAATGTGGTCTAGAAAAAATGTCTAAAAAACATTTGGATGATAGAATAGCCATGAATAACACAATCCATGAATCATAGGGAATTCTTGAATGATTTCGAAATATATATACCCTCTGGTAATTTGTTACATAGCTATTGAACATGGCCATAGAAATAGTGGATTTACCCATTAAAAATGGTGGATCTGTCCATAGTTTTTTGTTAACGTTTACCAGAGGGTAGAGCCAATGATGTAACTGGATTCACGATGTGGGATGATAAGGATGACAGCCAGCTGCCTGGACCCGGTCCACTGACCCAGCTGTTTTTTGTGTGTTTTTGACGTGTCTTTTTGTTCAGTTCAGGAGGATTTCATGGGAATTTTCATGGGAAGTTCATGATTTTTTATTGTGTTCATGCCCAAGAATTTCATGGGAACATGAGGGTTATAAACCAGAGTTGAGATTGGTAAACGGACTGGACTGGGTGACTTCAAGGTAGCAACGATACCAGCACTGTTGATGTTTCTAGCTGTCAACCAGCAAAAATGGAGATCTGACTGTATATACCAATGATACAATGTTGGATGATGGATGCTCAACTATTCTGTTAGAATGTTGGCTGTTAAATTTGTAACATGGCAGGTTCAGATCTGGCAATGTTAACACAACCAAATTCAATGGGAATTCCAGGATCCTAAATTGGAGGTACTGTACCATATAAGGCCATATTTTGTGGGGATATTCCCTTACATAGGCCTTATATATGGTAGGTACCTCCAATTTAGGATCCTGGAATTCCCATTGACAAATGTTTAGCGGTAATGAAGCCTAGCTATGTGATCATGTCTGAGAGACTTGGAGGGACAAGTGGTTAGTAACCCATGGCATCGTTCGTGATTTGGGAAGGTCGCTGAACATTACTAGCACATCGTCTTATTAACACCAGAAGCTGCCATAAAAGGTGTGTATCTATATATATATATATATCTATATACATACACATATAATCACATATACACATACACTTTTTGGTGTGTATCTATGTATATATATATATTGTACACATCGAAATCGGGAAGCTATTCTTACCGACCTCAGACGGACCTCACACAAAATGATGACTACAACTCATCCATATAAGACCCAGTTGAGGCCCCACTGAAGCCGCTTTTCCTGAAACTGCTGGCGCCTGCCAGGATGATGTACACCATTTTTCCAGATGGAGCACCCGGGCGGAATTCGGCGGAATCGGCAGTACAATAGCTGGATGATTTGGGGGTACCCCCATTTATGGAAACCTCCATATATGTTTATATGTTTATATGTATATATCTATATATGTATATATACATATATATATATATACACACATATATACATAGATACATAGACACATAGATAGATAGATACATAGATACATGGATACATGGATACATACATAGATACATAGATACATAGATACATACATGGATACATAGATACATAGATACATACACACATACAAACATACAAACATATACAAACATATACAAACATATACTTACATAGATACATACATAGATACATACATAGATACATAGATACATAGATAGATAGATAGATACATAGATAGATAGATAGACAGACAGACAGACAGATAGATAGATAGACAGACACATAGGTAGATAGATACATACACAGATACATACATACATGCATAAATATATGCATATAAATGTAGCCATAGAAATATATCTCAGCTTCATCTAAAAATGGCCGTGTTCTATTTTTATTCGTAGTGACCGTGGTTTGATTTTCGAGGTCCAAGAGAGTCTGGACAATCCGGAGCTGGCCTTCTGGGGCGGAGTGGTGGTGGGCGCCATCTTCGTCAGTCTGCTGATCTGCCTGAAGCGACTCGGTGATGGCGAGGTTGACGGTTGATGTATTCATGGCTTCAAGATGTTTTTTTTTTGTTGGATTTAGTCAGTTAATAGGTTGGTTGTCACCTTGTTAATGTACTAAAAGTGAGTCGGTTTATTAGAAGCCTATAGGGTTAAGTAAAATATATACAAAGTGACTTATCTTATCTACAGGTTAAACAAAATACATACAAAGTGACTTATCTTAACCAGTTATCTAAAGGCAAACACATTTCGTTGGCAGGTTGGTTGAGCAAACTCTGATTTTTTCTGCCTCAGCGGCCAGGCAGAAAACCGCTACCCCACACCCGATCCACGTATCCAGAAATGGAAGGGGAGAATCTACAGAAAACTCCTATATTTCATGGCAAACCCATCTAAAAAGCAAGATTTCAAATAGTTGTCACCTTGGATTTTCCATGATTTTCCCTTCACACATCATCCCTTTTGAAAATTTTGTGAGTCTACGGCAGTGTTTTTTTTCTTTTGAAAAACCTGCCCCCATCCGTTGTGGCGTGGCTGGCAACCCGTGGAGGTTTTCCATCTCCCTGCAGATGTTCGCGCTGAGCGGCTTCGCAGGGACCTGGATGCAATTTCTGGATGCCTCCCAGGAGGCGAACATCATTCCACCCTGGCGACCGGGGTGGTCCATTGGGAGACTTGGACCGGCGCTGGGACATCTTGGGCAAAATGGGGATGTGGATGATAGAGGTCATGATGATTTTGATTATGGATAGTGAATGTGTATATATATATATATTGATTATGGATAGTGAAAATTATAATAATCTCCATGATATATAATAATAATTATAATTATTATACTTATACTATATTATAATTTTCATGTATATATATATATAATACCCGTATCTAGTTGATGTGTATGCACAGATATTACATATCCCAAGATAGGTCGAAGAGCATTCTTTCGTTTCCAGGACTTGTAGGAAACCTACAAAAGTTGATTAATATGTAATGTCTACTTACCCAGGCAGAAGTAAATTTTGATTTTCCCACCCATTCCCAAGCATTTCAGGTGGATTTACTCGTACCTATTTATTCGTTTCGGGTTCCTCTTATCGAGCTTTAGATGTTGGGCACATCCATGGCGCAAGTAGAGAGCACATCCTTATGATCAGGAACAGTTGGATGGCAAAGGTGCGAGATGGCTGAACTTTGGGAAGAAACTCATCCCCATTCTCGACGTTGTTGGATATTGTTGGAATATACCCTGCAGTCCCTGGCAAAGAGCATTTCAGACTCAAATTCTTTAGTCTCTCACCAAGTACATTGTAGTGTAAACCCAGTAAAGCATAAAAACGTCAAAACACGACATATTTCATCCACTGCAAAGCTTGTTGTCACCCCTCTCTGCAGTCCCGCATTGTCCTCAGGAAGGATGTCCTGACGCAAAGCTTTGCATGTGCCTTTGGCTTTTCATGACATAGGGTAAATCAATTCGGTAGCTCTTGACATGGACTTCTGTGATGTGAGCAGCTAGGCACTGGTATTGGCATGTTGGCGGTGATGCTGGCATCCCTTTTGCCCTATCCTCGCTGGTCCTTGACCTTTGTGACGGATGCGTGGCCGGTGATTCATGGTGGGCCAGAGTTGGAGGATCAATTTGTTCGTCCCAAATTGCTTGATTTGATATTTTTAAGTGGGTCATCCCACTTCGTAAAGAGTAACAGTTAGTAACTATAGCATATATAGTTAATAAGCTTGAGGTTCGATCTAGTTCCCATCTCGTTGGATGATTCCATCTAGAAAAATACATATTTTTAACGATGAAAACCGATGATCCTGATCTTGATCCTGGAAGGGTGACCCCAGGGACCGTAGGGCTGTAGGATCATGTCCCAACTTATGGTAACAAAAACCATCAAAAACCCATGAAAACCCACCTAAAAACTGCACCCAAAAGTTTTCTGGTGCCGTTTTTTCTTGGGATCCAAGAAACGGTTTTGGCACATTTTGCGGGTTTCAGGCTGGAAAACTGTACATATATTGTAAATCAATGGACATCATATATAATTGGTCCAAATATTCTTGGTCCCGTCAACTTTAGACTGACCAAATTGGCTGTCCGTACATCTAAATCTCGAGTCAAATTCATCATTTGATTCTATTCCCGATTCCCCCAATACAAAGATTCCGTAGACCTACTGGTTATTGGTGAATTGGGCTCCATCTGGGGATACTGATATTTCATAACTGATTGGTGGTTTGGAACATTTTTTATTTTCCCTAATAGTTGGGATGATGATCCAATCTGACTTTCATATTTTTCAGAGGGGTAGGTATACCACCAATTAGATAAATTTGCATGGTTTTGGCCAATCTTTGCAGAATTGGCCTGAAAAACCAAGCCAATGAGTCCAATTTCCTATGGGATTTCCCTTTCAACCAATCCACTGATGGTCCTGGGCCTTTGAGTTGAACGGAGCCATTTTTTTGTCCTGTAAAATGCTGATATCCATGAGTTTCACAAGTTAAATCCATATTTTGCTCACTAATGAAATATCAAATATCTAATTATATCCATTTTTATCTTCCCCCATAGAAATTCCCCAATCCAGTATCTTCATATTTACTCTGCATTTTTTCACTCAACCTTGTACTTTTCACCAACCCCTGCCAGGAAAATCAGCTCCATGCCAACGTGCAGATGGTCAAAGTCATGCGCACTGAAACTCGGTCGAAGAACTCGATCGGTTGATTCTAGGGGGTTAACAAAATCACTACCCTTTACATATTGGGGATGATCGTAATCCATAGAATTCCTAAGCAAACGTGATATAGTAATATTAATATAGACATTATTATCCAAGAAGTTTCTGACACTTCTCAAGTAAAGACATCAATGAACAGGTATATTCAAACCATTGTAAACCCAAAAGGATGTGGAATGGAGTCGCCTTTTTACTAAAACAAAAGGTAAATCATGTCTTTCGAATTGTAGGGTACATCATAGTTTGAAGCCCGGCCACAGTATGGCTTCAATATGGCTTTTAAGGGTGCCAGGTAAATCATTACCGGTTTCTAAACATTTCAGGAAACCATTGGGACGTTTCAATAATTTTGAATATGGGCTTGGGTTTTTATGGTAATGTTTCCGTCTATTGCAGCCAATTGGTTGATTCATCAAGGGTTTTGAATCCATTGAAACAAGTAGAGAAATGATCCACACCACGGCCCCGGTGATATTTAAAGGCTATATATACGTTTGCACACCTCTCACATACCCGCTCATACCCACATTCTCAGACTATTTTTTCCGCAACTAGCCGCAGTTTTTTTTCTTCCAAGACGGTAGGTATGTTCTCCGACCGTTGTACCCTGCAACGATTAGATTTAAATCGATTGGCATGCAGACACTATGTAAAAAGGTCCCAATAGCCGACAAGCGGACAAGGATCATGGGCGAGCTATTAAAAGCACCTTGGTTTATTGGTTATTATGGGGCATTGCTAGCTGCTTATTGGGGATTGCGAATTATAACCCATAGTTTTCAAAAAATCACGGCCATCAAACAAAACCTCTGATTTATACCGCATATTCATCAGCTACACCTTTGCAGCCGTGCCATGGAGCCCATGAGTCGGGCTGAAAGTTCCATCCAACTTCAGGTCTCCTTGGCAAGTGGGCGGCGTGAAACTGTCACGGTCTCGCAGTCTGGCAGCGTCGCCGATCTGAAGATGGCTGCGCAACAGTCTTTTGGACAAAGTTTCCTGAGGCTTGCAGCGCCTGATGGGCGTCTGTTGAACCCAACAGACTCTCTTAGACTCTCGGGGCTTCAGGATGGAGACAGCCTTATTGCTGTTGCACAGCAGCCAAAGATAGCTGCAACAAGAGATGCGTTTGCTTTGTGGTGTGTTGGAGCAGACAGAGTTGTCACGTGGGGCTGTCGACGCAGTGGTGGTACCAGTTCCAGAGTCCAAGGTCAGCTCAGAAATGTTCAGCAGATTAGGGGCACAGAACGTGCTTTTGCTGCCATTTTGGCAGATGGAAGTGTGGTGACATGGGGAGACCCCAACTGTGGTGGTGACAGCTCCAAAGTCCAAGATCAGCTAAAAAATGTTCAGCAGATCTGTGCCACAGGCTCTGCTTTTGCTGCCATTTTGGCCGATGGAACTGTAGTGACATGGGGCGGTCCGAACTACGGCGATGACAGCTCCAGAGTCCAAGATCAGCTGAGGAATGTGCAGCAGATTTGTGGTACACGTTTGGCTTTGGCTGCCATTTTGGCAGATGGAAGCGTGGTGACATGGGGCAGTGCAGCCTATGGTGGGGACAGCTCCAGAGTCCAAGATCAGCTGAGGAATGTCCAGCAGATTTGTGCCACAGACTTTACATTTGCTGCCATTTTGTTAGATGGAACTGTAGTATCATGGGGCAATCCGAACTACGGCCATGACAGCTCCAGAGTCCAAGATCAGCTGAGGAATGTTCAGCAGATTTCTGCCACGGGTTCTGCTTTTGCTGCCATTTTGGCAGATGGAAGTGTGGTGACATGGGGAGACCACATTTGTGGTGGTGACAGCTCCGAAGTCCAAGATCAGCTAAAACATGTTCAGCAGATCTGTGCCACACAAGGCGCTTTCGCTGCCATTCTGGGTGATGGAAGCGTGGTGACCTGGGGCCATCACGACGATGGCGGTGACAGCTCCAGAGTCCAACATCAACTGAGGAATGTTCAGGAGCTTTGTGGCACACTCGGTGCTTTTGCTGCCATTTTGGCAGATGGAAGCGTGGTGACATGGGGTCATACCCACTATGGTGGTGACAGCTCCGAAGTCCAAGATCAGCTAAAAAATGTTCAGCAGATCTGTGCCACAGGCTCTGCTTTTGCGGCCATTTTGGCCGATGGAACTGTAGTGACATGGGGTGGTCCGAACTACGGCGATGACAGCTCCAGAGTCCAAGATCAATTCGTGCACATCTAGGGACGTGGGTCAAGTCCTTTGGCACACATTGACATGCTGGTGCCCAGTGAAATGTTTGTTGCTTTATAAAAGCCATTACCGCCATTAGCTAGTTCGATATATCTACCACAAAAGCCTGGGGCAACTTTGGTAGCGACCATCCAAAGGAGGGGGTGTTCCACCATCGGAGGATTCTTTTCTCATGGGGGATCCCCAAGTTGCCATGGCTTTCAATATTGGAAATCATCCCCATTCATGGCCATGGGTATCCATGGCTTTCAATACCAAGTTATGATAAAATCATCGAAGTTTGCATAATTTGGGGGGTAGCTTCGTTCCAAAACACCTCTGACTATTCTGGAAACAGTTTCCGCTGGGATGTTGCCAGCGCTCCGACCATGACGTGCTGAACGATTTTTTTGAGCTGCTTACGGTGCACGAGTCAGTCGCCAGAGGGATGATGATCCTAACTTCCGTGTGGCGTTTTTCTCCATGTATAGATACGGGTGATATATACAGTATTTCTCAATTATTCTGACTCTTCTCTGACTCTTCCTCTTTGGCCTTTTGGTTTTTTAATGTTTTTTAATCCTCAAAGAGGCTCAACCAACGACTCACTCGAGAAATAAAAGGTTTAATTTTCTCGCCGAGTCCCAAGAGAGATCGGAGACTGCGTCCAGCCGATGTTTGGAAAACCTATCATCTATCTGGGTTAATTTTAGGGAAATCATCCCCCATTCATGGCCGCAAGATTCAGGTTAGTGAAATGTTTGAGGTATTATGGCCTTTACCCAGATCTATATCTTTGGAACACAATTTTGCTGGTGCGTTTTACGTAGGGTGGCTGGATGGGTTGCTGGGGGTTGCTGGGGGTTGCTGGGATGATTATTCATAGTTAGCCAGTGGATCATTCCGAATCATTCCCGAAAATTCCCTACGTTTAGCACGCACCAGTAAGATGAATAAAAATCACAAAATACCAGATTAATTATTAACCATCATTATTACCATATATTAACCATATATTAACCATCATGAACCATGAATCATCACCATTAATATGAAAACCATAAGCACCAGTTTATCACATCCTGGAGCCATCCGTTGTTCGCCATCACGGTTTCCATGACCGGTGAGGGGATGACTCTATAATACTCCATGGTTATTCCACCTTTGCCATTTATGGCTTCAATGAATGATATATCTGGGTAAATTATAACGACCTCACTGTTCTCCCTACTGGAATCATGGTTAGGATTCGGGGAATCATCCCCATTCATGGCCTTAATTCAGGTTAGTGAAATATTAGAATTTACCCAGATATATGGGATGACACCTATAGAATGGTTTATCAGTTTACCGGGATATATATATATATAAAATATTCTTATTGGGATATATTGTATCTTTTATGGGATATCTCTTGATGGGTTTATCATTGGATTATTACGTTGGGCGGCCGAACATGGGTGAAATATGATAATTTAGCCAGATATTTATATATGGTTACGAAGTAACCAGACATATCATGACTATGGTTACTATATGTTACTATGGAGAATATCATCGAAATTTGGTTACTATGGTTACTACGCTTACTAAGCAGTCGAGTTTGGTGGGATTGATACAGATTGATCCATTGATCCTCCAGGTAGTGGACTACTATGCTCTGGACAAACCCAACAAGTACATCAAGGATCAAGTCATTCGAAGGCGCGCAGGAGCGGGCAGAGCTGGTGGTTGGCAGTTCTCCAAATCTGTAGCACTCCCCAAAGATCTCTTAAAGATGGTGATAAATTGAACCTTTTCTATCTATTTTTTTTGGGAGGTTACAATCTAATCATCCTCAACATGTCAACATGTTATTGCTGGTGATATTCCCATGATTTCCCATGATATTCAGAATCTCTCCCCTCGTTGAACGCGTCATTCTCCCAGTTTTTCACTGACCTTTCTTCAGTTTCTTCAGCTGCCAAGGCTGGGGCATCTGAAGGGTCTGACCCACGAGAACCAGCCGCTCTTGGCTGCGGCCTGGTGGGAGTGCTATGGCTTTGGCTCCTCACAGGTGGCCGAGTGTTGGGATTCGCCATGGCAGCCATGGCTTCGAGTTAAAAACCGGGTTCACAAAAACCGGGGCTTTTGGGGTGGTTGGGGTTGGGAGGATTTTTCATGATTTTTCTGGGTCTTAGATGATCTCATCGATCTGGAATAGTTTTGAGTCATGCAGCTGGATGGTATTACTGTATAAATTCGGATATATCTCAGCCAAACCTGGCACTTGGACACATGAGAGGAAGTAATGCTGATACAATCTTCAGAGGGTGGGGTTGCGGTTAGAGGGATGGGGTTGTGAAGCACTCTCACAGTGCTGTCTCCCCAAGTTTTTCTCTTTGCAGAACTGGAATTGATTTCGGACCTTAGATATTTATGATGAATTATGATGATTTCTACAAGTCATGTGTTACAAAGCAGGACCGACACTTTAAAAAACCCTTGAGCTTCTCAATGTCAACCGACATCTCCCTAGTCCTCGCAGGTGAAACGCCGAGTACTGGCGCAGATGGACAACATCACAACAAGTGTCTCTGTTGATGGCGTGGGACCGGTGGATGTTTATTGGAAGACACCATGGGAACGGAGTTAAGGAAGACTGTGGAGGTCCTGATTGACACACTTTTTTTCGGGAAAGCGAGCATTGTTCGATATTTTTTGATGTTTTTTTGAATGTACAGTGCTAACGTTGGTATACAACTCCAATATCCAGGGCTTAGATTCTGGCAGATATCTATAGTTAGCCCCGAAAAAGGTGATCACAGAGGAGATTGGAAGGACAGCTCAGATTTCCAGAATTTCCAGCGCCCCAGGCATTTTTGATATCATTTGGAATGCCTGGCAAGAAACCGTTGCAGACGCTGGTTGTGCGGGGGGCGAGGATATCGGATAGATGGACAATGGTGGACATGTGGACATGTGCCCCTCTCAGCCATTGTTTTTCGGGGTGCTCCCTTCCAGTAAAAGCGTTTACTACCACTTTTTGCAGTTGATTTTTTCCGTTTGTTTTTTGTGCATTATTTGAAGTTTTCTTAAGATGTGGGACCCCAAAATCATCAACAGATGTGGGTTATTTTTGATGGTTTGATGGGGAAACCGATACGATAAGATACTGTACCCCTTAAAAAGAACCATCTGGGGGAGAAGGCGCTGATGGGGCTCGAGAAAACGACACTGGAGTGCTTGTCGAAGCACTCCATGGACTTTGACAGATCAGTTCAGCAGGTAGTTGGCTAAGCCACATCCAATATGTGCACATCCAATACTTGATTGATGATTATTCATGGTTACTAATGGTGACTGATTATTAATGATGATTATTAATGGTCTTGGAGATGACCTGCCAACCAATACTTCACCGATTTTTTGTGCTTTGGGACTTTGGGATGGCGGATGCGGAGTGGGTGGATGGAAGCATCTCAGCGACATCGTGAAACCCATCATGCTGGGAAGCTTTGTTTATCATTGTTTCTCCACATCAACTTCATTGGAAGATAGGCTAGATAGGTATAAACGAATGTCGACCGGGAATTCGTATTTTTACCTTGGTCTATTTTCATGTGGGTAAAACAATGATGAACCATCCCCCAGTCATCACCATTTTTATATATCGGTGGTATGTAGAAACCATTCCCAGTCATGGGTTCCCCCAGCGATGAACAGCTGATGGGTTGACCACCCGAGGAAGACTTCGGGGAGAAAGACGGACACTTGATCCGTCCCGTGGCGATTTTGGTTAAGCGATGGAAAAGCAGGAGATTGTTCATGATTTTCCAGGGGTGATTCTCTCATAATTACATATAATCACCCTTTGTAGGTATAAATATTCATGTTTAAACCGAGAAAACTCTGTTATTCATTTATATATGTATATATAATAACCATTTGAGAAAACTCTGTTATTCTCAGAATTTTTAAAGTTATGACTCAGTTATGCATCATCATGGAACAGTTTTATGTCAGGAATATCAAGCCACGGCTCCAGGTCAGATGAAGCCATACATGGATGCACTTCTCAAGTCCATGGCCGCTCGGCCAGTTTTCTCGGTCAGGTGGATGTCATTCACAGAGAGCTGACTTTTTCAAAGGTGATTGATGATGGTCAAGGGTGATTTCGTCATAGTGATGATGGATGATTATCAATGGTTATTAAGGGTGATGATTATCAATGTTTATCAATGTTTATTAATGATTATTGATGATGATGGATATTAAGGGTGATTATTGGTGATGAATGGTGATTTTTCCTGGTGAGTTTTATGGGATTATCCTCCGGTGTCATCAAACCTGCAAACCTGGCAAAAAAACCCGTGGCCTAAATGGAGGATTCCCGGCAGTAGTTGGGAAAAATTCCTCGAAAAATGGGGGGGAATTCCATGGAATTCCTATTGCCATGTTTGATGACACCGGAGCGGAAAAAAGGTGACTTCCAGTGATTTGAAGGGGCGAAATGCTGTTTGCTTGCGCAGTTCTTTTCTTTTAGCGTGGCTCAGCTTCCCAGCTGAGGAAGTGACGCTGCAAATGTTGGTGAAGGTGTGGCTGGGGTGTGGCTGTTTTGTGGGTCCCCTGGGTCCCATGGATCTGGAGATTGACCAACTATGTGGGTCAAAAAAAACTTGGAATCCCCATCCCGTCATCCCATTCACAGCAAAAATCGCTGGCAGTAGGTGGTCATCCCCCCACAATATGGTATCTATAGGTGACCAATCACCATGTCAAAAATGATGTTTTTTGGTGGTACACATGATGGTACGTGATGCTGATCCGCATTCACCCCACAGGATCCAGGATGGGTTTCTTATGGTTTCTTGCTACACCATTTTTGACAGAGACCGGGGTTCATAGGCAAGTTGGTGAGGCATATCCTGCTTAGACATGTGACATGAACCACTAGTACATAGTAGTACCACACTTTTGGTCAAACAAACATGGTCACAATGTGGGGTTCCCAAGATATGTAGCTTGGTTCACAAGCAGGTTAACTGGGGTTATTTAGTCGTTAACTATAGTTAGATGGGTCATTAGAAATCAACAAACAGAACTAGGGGGCACCACTTCCTATAAGCCATATGGAAGATTTTGAGCTATATTGCTATATATATATATATACATAGCATCATATAGCCCCATATATATATATATATCAGAACCCTAAATTTAAGATGACACCTGAAAAATGGGGTCACATTTAGATGGGTTTTACAGGATAACATTGAACTAACTCCCCATCTCACTTAGACTCCCATTTCCCAGTAGAACATCCCAGTGTAACAACTTGGACTTTTAGACTCCTCATCTCACATAGACATGTGTTTTTAAGATGTTACCCTCTGCTTCTTCAACGTAGCGAACTGGATAATCAGCTTTTTTCATAGGTAAATCATCATGTTTATCATCTATTTCTATGGGTTATTTTCCATGGCTATGTAACAAATAACCAGAGTTCCATGATTCGAATTCCAGTCCAGCCTTTCGACATCGCCAAGTTGTACAAGTGACGTGTTCCGAAAAAGCCATCTACGGCAACGAATCGCTTGGAGGATCATCCCATTTAGTAACTGGATGTAAGTGGATATAAGTGGTATGTTTCTTCTGATCAAAGATGATGTATCTAGGGAGATTATATCCACTTATATCTCATTGACATTTACTATTTAGTAACTGGATGTAAGCGGATATGAGTGGTAAATTAAACCATAGATGCCATAGTTATAGGATCATGAGTGGTAAATAACCATAGTTATACTATGTTACAACCCATTTATGGGCTAACTCGCTGAAGGGGGACTGTAATCATACTGGAATCGCTGATCCTCCGAGGTTCTTCCCCGTGACCCCATCAATGAAAAATATCCCCCCTAATCAACATAGTCAACCCTAAGCTATCATACATCAGCTATAACTCCCATGGAAATCTTTCTTTTTTCCTAGTTCAATCATGTTAAATCACCATTTTCCCATGGTTTTCCCATGGTTTTCCCATGGTTTTCCCATGGTTTTCTCATGGTTTTCCCATGGTTCACGGCTGTCCCAATCATTCGGCGCCCGAGGCGGCCTCCGACGGCTCGCTGACGCCGGCCGAAGTGCTGGCGTTGAAGATGAGCTTCGAAGACATCGACAAGACGCGTGGCCGTGGCGGTGCCAGCGCGAGATGGGGATACTGCAGATACCCCAAATGGCTGGATGGCTGGATGGCTTACCCTCTGGTGAACTAACATAGCTATGGAAAATCACCATTTTAAATGGGAAAATCCACTATAAATGGTGATTTTCCATAGCTATGTTAAATTACCAGAGGGTATGGTGTATCCCATTATTCAAAAAGCTGGTTGGTGGTGCAATGTGCCCATCTTGAAAAATGATGGAGTGAAGGTCAATGGGGTTGGGGATGACATCCCATATATTATTATGGACACTAAGAAATGTTTGAAACCACCAACCAGTAAGATATTAATGGCTGGATGGCTTATGTCTATTTTGGAAAATCCCAAATCCAGAACATGGATGGTTTATGTCTATGTCATTCTATGTCTATTTTTGAAAATCCCAAACAAATAAGAAATGGGGTGAAAAATTGATAAATGGTGTACCCCCATGACTTCGGAAACAGCCATTTGGTGGCACAGCCCGCTGGCCCGCTTTTTTGGATGGCTATGATCATGGGGGAACCATCCGTCAATGGAGATACAAAATGGAGAAATGATGGGATAGATCCGTATAAACAATTTATAGTATAGATGGGGAATTATAAAAGTAAGAAACATTGGGATAGTTAACATGGACATATGGATTTAATTGAATATTTATGTGATATAATAAACCACATGGATATTTTAATGAGAGAATCATCTATAAGTTGCTATTTTAGTGGGATATGTTAGGGGGAAACCGTCCATAAATGGGGTTATTAGATGTTATTGGGATATACTGATATACTGTATATAATGGGATATACATAGAACTAATGATATGATAGTATGGGTTTGTTTGAATTTGGAAACTTAAGTTAAGCATTGCAATTGGTTATATCAAACCATAATGGGGACAAGAGCATAATTTCAATGAATATTTGACTTGGGGGTTTGATGATGTAATGTATAGGTTTGGTAAGTGACAGTATTTTTCCCTCCAAATTCCATGATTTAAAAGCTTACTTTCTGTATTCATCTGCTATTTGATGGGGATATGATGGGATATATAAGCTATAATGCGGTTTTTGGGTTTGATATATATATATATGGGAATCATCATGTATAAACTTCTAGTTGAATGGAATATGTTGTGGAACAATCATGCCCGCAAAAGATGCTATTCTATGGGATATCATGTTAATGGACTAACTATATCACCAACCTTCTGATTCTGGGGCGGGATCGAAGTGATTGAAGCACCAAACGTGTCATTCAATAGAATTTTTCATGATGGTTTAGTCATCAACGTTGGAACAAGCAATCGGGTGTTACCATCAAATATGGGCCCCGCTTGGAATTCAACCAATGAATGCTGGTGATGGCTGGGTCCAAAAAATGGGGAAAATATGGAGCACCTGAACTGGGGGGTTGACCCCACAAGAATTGGGCAGATTGACCAACAGACATGTGATTTGGGTCATCAAAAAACCTGGGGAAATTTACTTCAACAAGATACGGAATTTCAGGACTGAAGATACGAAGAAGCAACATATGGGAACAGAACTAGAATCCGGAGAATTGATAATAACCTCGTGGTCCATCAAGGCCGCTAGATTATCTTCGGGAAATCATCGGACGAACAGATCATCTTTGGGATTTGTGAGACACAACATTTTATTCAGAAAACATGGGGGAAGGTGAGCAAGAAAGACACAGGAGATACGGTTCAACCTTCGAAATGAGGGGTTCAGCAACGAAAAAATGGGGAGCAAACAATGGGAATTCGACCTAACGCAGGTGATAACATACTACAAACATCGGCATTCAACGACAAACTAAGGAATACAATTGACCTGCAAGAAAGATAGGTTGTCCATGGTTTTCCAACATGTTTCATGTGAAGATCTCCGTCCGCGTCCGTCCGCATTTTGGGGTGATCCTGAGGAAAGATAAAGCGTTGGTGGACTTCTTCCGCAAAGCGCGGAAGGTCGGCGCGTCGGATCCGTCCAGAGCAAGAAATCACTGGTGGGTGGTTTCAAACATGGCTGGATTATGGGAAAATCATAGGAAAACCATAGGAAAACCCTAGGAAAATGGAGGTTTACCCTCTGGTTATGACTAACATAGCTATTGAAAATGTGGGATGTCATCCCAACCCCATTGACGAACTCCATCATTTTTCATGATGGTTAAAACATGTTAAAACCACCACCAACCAGATAAGATCTGGGGGTATTTTATACCAGCCCTGGTATCGGGGTAGATTGAGCCCTGTTCTCCGGAGCCTCCGGAACCTTGGAATCCATGGGTTTTTATAGGGAAATCATCCCCATGACCATGGCCGCAAGATTCAGCTGAGTGAAATATGATGGCCTAAAAACCCAGATTGATGGCCATATCATTTTTACAAGATCATCATACATTTTTGTATACCATAGTAATCATCAGTATGGCCTTTACCCACATATATTGTGAGAACGAACCCATATGATGTTTGGGTCTGTCCAAACAGGATGAAAAGCCACGGCTTCCTGGTCAGTTCGTGACGGTCTGTTGACCGCAACGAAGTCATCCCATCCCATTTTTTTTTTATACAACCTTAAATAGTCCCAACTACCCTCTGGTAATTTAACATAGTTATTAAACATGGCCCAGTCGAAATAGTTGATTTACCCGTTAAACATGGTGATTTTCCATTTTTTTTTGTATGTTTACCAAAGGGTATGTGGAATTTCCCTACCTTTTTACCATGGTCAATCTTTTGGGGTTGTAAGAGGTTACCTCTGTTTCGTCTGTGGATCAACTGCAGGAATTGGCGCCTTTCTTACGGTGCAGATACGTTATGGGATCATCATATAACTATATGTGTAGTAACTCCCCACAGAGATAGAACAGTAATTCATCAGTAATTTAGCAGTTCTTTTTTTTAAAACGTTTCTTTTTTTTGTATATTCTTAATAAGATCGTCTTCTGTCATCCTCGAAGACTTGCCATCGAGATGGATTAGGCCATAAGCATCCATAAGCCTCAGCCATGACTAGCGCTTGCTGCTTATCACCAGCTCGCATCCCCCGGGGCTTTGCCTGCTATTTTCATCGGTTGCAGCAAAAAAAACACTTTTGATTGCCGTACCATACCTTACAACCGCAACTTGTCGCCATTCTTTTTACCCAACATTACAACCATCATCCATTTGTTATATTTTTTAGCATCAACTAGTAATCCCAACCCCCAATATTCAACAACCCCATTCTATGGTCTCAATATATGTTTTTACTACCGATTGAACCATGGTTTCTAGGGGCGCTTAATATTACGGGCTAGGATTAACGTATTTCTTCCAGCCAAGACCTCATAGTGACGCTTCCCACGTCACCACGCCTTTGCATGAACTCTCAACGCCTAGGACGTGACCAAAGGTAGCCCAGAGGTGATCTACAAGGCAGGTCCTGGGATCTGGTGGGAAAAGACCAGTGATATGATGGGAAGCTGATTCAAAACCCATCCCTCGCAGAAATTACCATCTGGTTATGACTAACATATCCATGGCAAGATCCACCATGCTATTAATAGGTAAGCCATCTATTTCGATTAGGGCCATCTATACCATGGCCATGCTAAATAACCAGAGGGTAGCAATTAACACATGGTCATTATCTTACTGGTGCGTTTTACGTAGGGATTTTTTTCGGGAATGATCCACTGGCTCACTAGTAATAATCATCCCAGCAACCCCCAGTCCCATCTCCCTACGTAAAACGCACTAGTAAGTTAAAAAAAGAGAAGATCATCCAATACCCTCTGGTTATTTGTTACAGTTCGCCATGGTTAAGTCATGGCCCTAATCGAAATAGATGGGTTTTACCTATAAAAAACGCATGGTGGATCTTTCCATGGCGAACCGTTAGTCATAACCAGATGGTTAACCAATGATGGTTAGTGATCAATCATGGATAGTAATGGATAGTAATGATGGTTAATAATGGTTAATAATGGTTAATAATGGTTAATAATGGTTAATAATGGTTAATAATGGTTAATAATGGTTAATAATGAACCCATTTATAGATGGTTTACCTATTAATAGCATGGGTGGATTTTCCATGGCCAACCGTTAGTCATAAGCAGATGGAAAAATCGTTGGGCCCCGGATTCCAGGCCTTATCCGTTGGCAAAAATGGACAGTTCACCGGCTTCACCGGCTTCAACCCCCATCTTTAGCTGGTAAAACCTCCAAACAAATCGTTGTTTTTCACCAGTTAAACCAGTGAAACCACTTATATTTAACCACTTATATAAACCACTTATATAGCTCGGACGGCTTCTGAGTGACCCGCGCACGGCGTGAGCAGTGCGGCGCGCCACTGTTCGGGTCCAGCTGCTTTGTGCAGCAACGAGGAGGGGTGGGTGGCGTCCATCCACCCGCCATCGGAAGTACTCCACAGGCATGGGCCCAAGGTGTCCTAACTAGTGTGGATTGTAATGGGTCTTTGACATTACAAAAGCCGTATTGCAGCCTCTTGTGGCAAGAGCTGTGTCCCAAAGAGCCACGGTGAGGTACACAGTTTTGTTTGTCAGGCGGGTGCTGACAAGCACATTCGCTTAGCGAACAAAACGGGAAAAACGCCTTGATGGCGCAGCCCGGAGGCTCAGGTCTCACACCAAGAAGAACTGAGTGGCCCATCCACAACAACGATGCACCAGGTGGGCGTCAGGCCACCAGCCCTGTCGACTCAGTCCTTCCAGATCTTTCGTGCTGTGAACTGCGAACACACCACAACAAGGTCGCAGTTAAAGGCTCCATGTAGGAATGGAAGCCAGTAGCCCGGCGAAGCGGTGTCCAATCCCATCTCTTTCCATCCAGCGTTGCTCGAGAACCTGGCTCGGCCAGCTCAATGACAGACGATGGGTATGGCTAAGCCCAAACTCTCCTGAGGTTCAAGAAGACCAGAACACCTGTTGTGTTGGCCACGCGCTCGGCCGGGCATCCAAAATCATCCAAGCTCAAGCACTGTTGCCAGGCTACCCGTCAGCCGAGTCATCCGAAGCTGCTCGATAACAGCCATGATCCAAACGTACCAGGACAGGAGATTCATTCCATTGCGGCCGCAGGTCACGAAGCTGGGTGAAGCAGCGTCTGGTCCCATCTCTTTCCGCCCTTGGGGGCTATCAAGCACATGCCATCCCAGAGCCAAGCCGATGATGGGACACCAGGTAGATGAGAAAAACTGGCTCGGGTCAGACCATGTAGAGCCGCCATCACAGCGTAGTCAGATCAGAGTTTCCAAGCCCTTAGCTGGCAAGTAGTCAAAGTATGTAAGATTGACGGCAAATCTGGGCGCCTGAAACTGACAGCAGGGCACCACCGGAGAAACGGCACCCCGAACAAGTGCAGCGAACACACAATGATAGCCACAAAGGCTTCCATGGCTGATGTGAAACGAGCTCCCAAACTTCTGCCGACACGGGTCCACCAGCTGGTAGGATTCGGGCCGAGACCTATAAACCACTTATATAAACCACTTATATTATATATATATATAAACCAATTAAACCACGCCATTCTTCAATTGCACCAGTCTTTATCACTTTTACCGGTGAAAAGCCAGGAAGTCCGGATCGCCCATGTCCTGCTCTACAGTTTCTGCGAGGTCGTTGGGAAGACCAAGAGCCTTGCAGACGCCTGGCGCCAGGGGGTTGGTTCGGAAGGGGCCCGGCAGAAATCCGATAAAACGCCAAGTTGGATGGCTGAAAACCTATACAAAGTGGGGCCCCCGGCCACGATAGCGTTCAGTTGGCGCACATAACTCCAATGTCACTATGGTTTATGGATGTTTATGGTACCTATAACTATAGTTAATGGGGTTTATAAACCATCTTATAACTGGGCGGCCCCACCTTGTACTGGTTGGTGGTTTGGAACATGTTTTATTTTTCTGGTAATTTGTTACAGTTTGCTATTGAAAATGGCCCAGTCGAAATAGTTGATTTACCCACTTTTATAGCATGGTGATTTTCCACAGCTATGTTAGTTTACCAGAGGGTATACAGTAAATAATGGGATACACCATCTACTGGTGCAGGATTTCTTCCATCAACAGTATTATGTGAAAAATGGCTTAGATTTATGACATTTTTCTTGTCGAATAGTACGTAGTTATATGGGTTGTAAGAACACATCTTGGCAAATATAGTGCTTATGTGGGTTACATGGTGGGGTTATCAGAAACACTGTCGGGGGTATATATGGCTTTGTCCTTCAAAATTAGGGGCTTACCGATCTAGCAATGGGGATTTGGCCAGCGGAAAAAGGGATTTATATACAAATGGAGTTAAGCAAATGGGGATAAGAACGCAATGGGGTGCATTCACAAGTTTTTTTCCCCCATTTATGGCGGAAAACCATTCTTATTGACCATGACATGTGATTAGGTTTTCCCAACATTTTCAAACAAAGGGTTCGACTGACTGTCTTCGGAAGTTTCCTCAAGAAGATGCTTGGAAGTAGTCACATTTCAACGAAAGTTTGGAGAGAAGTTTAGCACAACCTGGTTGGATGTAAGGGAAACCTATGGGGAGATATGAGATATCCATAGATATCCAATATCAGTGTTGAAGAAATCAGAGCCTTGCTCCTTTCCACCTTAGGCTTAAACGGTCGTTGCCGATCCCCGAACTTGCCAATCAAACGGCTTCGAAGTAGGATATATCCAGGTACAACTGGGAAGGGGGAACTGAAGCCCGTGTACCATTATCTGTCTGAAAAAAGGCGTAATTAGCTTCGATTCCAAGACGTGTTATCATGTTTTTGTTTCGGTTCGATGGCAATTTTGGGATGCCAGTAATCAAACGTGGCTAGCTGGAAAATCCAGGATTTCCCCATTTGATTTTCCACCGCAGGGTCAATTTTTGACGCTTAAATCATCTTAAATCTCTATGAGTCAGCAATAATAAGCCGAAAAAATCGGGGGAATTTCCCATGATTTCCCCAGCTTTTCCTGGATTTACGCTGTTTGGCCGCCATGATAATCCCACGAAATCCTCGATTTCTGAAGACGTTTTCGGAAGATTTCTCTCCTCGGCCACCAAGGATAAGGTGCACCAAGAGATGTCAAGAAGCTGCCTGGCCTCATCACACAACGGATCCATTTATATACCCGGCCTGGTAAGCATACCAAAAACTATGGAAAGATCCACCATTTTGTAGCTGGGTAAATCAACTATTTCGACTGGGCCATTGCAATAGCTATGGTAAATTACCCGGGTAAGTGGTAAATAACTTAGTAAGTGGATGTAAGTGGTAAATAACTTAGTAGGAATCGGACCATGAGTGGTAAATAACCATAGTTATACTATGTTATAATCCATTTATAGATGAGATAAGCCACTGAATGGGGACTGACCAGGGTGTTCTTTATAGCAGTTACTGAGTGGGATGATCTTATTGCGGCAATTCCCCTCGAACAGATCTCTGATCTCGCAGCTTGGGATGTCATGTGTCGACAAAAGTCAACTCGAAAAATCCCCATGGGACCGACCAATGGTTTCCCCATGAAAATATATGTACTGTATATATATATATAATATATATATATATATATGTATGTATGTATGTATATATATATATATTTATCTCGTAGACTCTAGACAGACAGTAGATTCCTCGGAGCACACCGCACACAGAATTGAGATGATTATGGTCATAGACTACACAACTGACGAAGATGTGATACGAAACAAAATCTTCACGATACTCATGACCCTTCTGGGATTGTGGCTTTATTGCTATACACATTGATTGGTCATGCCCACTACTTGATTATACCTATGAACTATTGCACTTTCTTGGTTGCCTCCAGTCATTGTCCCCAGGTTCACGCGTCCTCCACATTTTCATTTGAAGGTCAGACCCTCCATTTGTGTTGTCAAACCTGCCCATCTTTCATTCAATCCCCCTATTTGTTGATGAAACAACCGCAAAGATTGCTTCAAAGTCCCCCCGTTTCATTCGATTCATTCTATACATTGATGACAATTTTTCTTGCTCAACTCCCCAATTTCATCTATGCATTCCATTCCCGTCTCATCCACCCATATGAATTGCTGATTTTCTGATCATCGCCCACTGAGGTGACTTCAAGTTGCCGCCGCCTCCAGAGTTGGATGGCTTCAAATCCATCTTTACAGGCCTCACCGAGAAGGTCGGGACGAACAAAGGGAGGGGACGCGGTTTTCAGTGGCGCAGAACTGGCGATTTCGATGCTTGCGGCAACTAAAACATGAGGATTTCTATGTCAAACATTTCGGATCTCTGTTGAGTTTTTCCATGGATTTTGACTGATTTCATCAGCAGTTAAATCCACGAATCATCATCTAATCATCATTGACTAATTGCCAATCATGATCAGTCATTGATTCATGTACTATTCATCATCATCGATGACAAATGGATCATTTGTATCATTAGTTTTATGATTATGTAATTATGTATTACTCATAATCCACATCATCATTCATGGTGTAATTATTTGGATGATGTATTACTAATGATTCATTCACATCATCCATTTAACATCAGCCATCTACTCTACTAATAATCATATCATCATAGTAATAGTAATATTATCCACAAACATCAACACTTCAAAAAATCATCTGAGTGATAATCCACACCATAGCTGGTTGGTGGTTTGGAACATGACTTTTATTTTTCCATATATTGGGAAGTTCGTAACCCCAACTGATTTTCACTCCATCATTTTTCAGAGGGGTAGGTATACCACCAACCAGATTATTATTAAAACCATCATGAAAACCATCATCATAACCATTATTAACCATAGATTTACCATAGATTAACCACATCTTTCCATAGTTTGCTCACCAAGACCCACATGGTCTATGCCGCGCGCGGCCTGGTGGCCTTCTTCGGTTCCTTCATCCTGGGCTGGTTCGGCTTCCGCGCCTCGACCGTTGCCTAAGAAACGAACAACCGTTAAGTGACCGCTAAGTGACCGAAGGGCCCGGTTCAAGAAGTCATAGCTGGGGTTTTTATGGAATGTTCAATGGGAATTTTCCCTTACATAGGCCTTATATATGGTAGGTACCTCCAATTTAGGATCCTGGAATGGCCATTGAAATGTTGATTCCTCTAAAATCCTCCAAGTATATATATATATATCTGATTGGTGGTTTGGAACATGACTTTTATGACTTTCCATGTATTGGGAATAATCATACCAACTGACTTTCATGTTTTTCAGAGGGGTTGAAACCACCAAGTAGATATGGTAATTATATGTATTTATATATGTAAATATGGTAATAGTCATATATAATTGTACGAATAGGTTTTGACCCACTACCACGTGTTTTTTTTTTAATGAACCTAGGTAACCTAACCAGCAAACAGCTTGCTATGGACAATCACCATGCTCAAGAGGTATTTCATGGAACTCAACGAGGTATTTCTATACCATAGCTATTCAACAAATCATACCAGAGGGCTAACCCCCGAACTAATCATCAACCCCTTGCAGCCACTGAGGTGATGTATTTCCTCCATACACGGCTGGCATCGCCAGCACCGTGCCCTTCCTCATCACCATGTAACTTGGAAGACACGTCGTGCCTGGAAATCCGAGTGACCTAGCGTTATACAATGGGGGCTATTGGACTTCAGCATGTTTCAAACATTGATTGTATACTATATACTACTAATACTAATACATATATATATTATTATTATTATTATTATTATGTACATGTATAAATAGTGTGGGAAGCCCAACAATAGACAATTCCCCCAAAATCGTCATTTTAAAGGGGGGTATAAACCATCCCCTTAAATGGTAGGTTTTCTCTTATTAGGTTTACCACACTAGCAGTTGAGCTGCTGAGGTATGTGGGCTCCGCTCTGGTCAGCGACTTGAATCGAATCCAAGGTTTGATGTTGGGATATGTAGCTTGGCTATGGCATAGATTCTCCCGGCTGGACGTGATATTCAGGAAGAGGGATTGCATCATCAGGTAAGTAACGTTACATAACTATGGAAAATCGATGGCCCAGCAATAGTTCAATGGTTTAACCTTCTTCGAAATGGTGATGTTCAAGTTGGCAAACTGGCAAGAATTTCATGCACCTGATCCGAAGATGATGTGGATTGAGGGTGCTGCACCCCCAACTTCCTGTTAAAAAAATGCATCATATCCTTTGGTTCATATTCCTCATTGACCGGTGCCTTCTTTTCTGGTAATGTCTTGTCCCATATTTGCGCACCCAGCCATGACCCATTTCTGCATCTGGTTTGATCGCACCGAAGGACGGATGCCTTGACCCCCAAGCACTGTAGGTCAATACCAACTGCCCCAAGAAAGTTCGGATGGTTTCATGGTTTCACAGCTTCCGCAACACAAATAGCGGTGGAATTTTTAAATGTATTTCAAAGACATCTCAAAGTCTGTACACCACTATAATGACACAAAATGACACAAAATGACACATAATGACACATAATGTCACATAATGTCACATAATGTCACATAATGACACTATATCAAATATCTATACATGTCTAGCCACTATATCTATCCATGTCTAGTTACTATATCTATACTATACCTAAATCTTTCTGTATATATATATATAGCCATATATATATATCTAGCATTCTATAGCTATCTATCTATGTCTATAGTACCTGTACATTGCCATGCAATTGATGTGCAGCTCCCTGCAGGTCATGGCACCGATCTTGGCGAGTTTGACCTCCACCTGCGAGCCCGTGGACCTCATGCGCCACGGCCAGCGGACGAGGGGGCACCGGTCGGGTAGCGGCCTGAGATGGCCTGACTTTTTCGGGATCTATGGTGAATCTATGGATAATCTATGGATAATCATATCTAATCATTACCAGAGGGTACCTATATGGAAACTGTTGAAGATGGATTTTTTTTTGGGCCTACTAAGTGATTCTTTTTGAACACGGAAAAAAGATGGCTAGCATTGTGTGTGCTATGCTGCAAGCCTTCAATGACCATGTCGGGTAGCATAGATGTCATGTTGGGCCACCTCGACAGAAACGCAGCAAAGTCAAAGGCTCCTGGTAATTTCGCACGAGTGGATTTTGCCGCGGATTCTCTTAGTGTTTGTCAAGGTCTGTCACTGCGTATTCGGCGCTTTTCAGAGGTGGCATCATTTCGATGTGAATTGATGTCAGCTGAAGTGATTTTGAAAGAGATTATATGCAGTCTACCCTCTGGTAAACATACAAAAAACTATGGAACATCACCATTTTAATGGGTAAATCAACTATTTCTATGGCAGTTTTCAATAGCAAACTGTTAGTTCACCAGAGGGTGACTATATTCAGGTTATACTTATATGGCGGTTTGGGTTGGTGGTTTGGAAGTCTGGGAAATCAGAGTTATGTGCAAAATAGATTTGAAAAATGTTTTTTTTTTGTGTTTTGTATTTGTTTTATTTTTTGTTTAACTAATCTAATCTAATCTACTCCCAATCTAATCTAATCCTAATCTAATCTAATCTAATCCTAATCTAATCTAATCCTAATCTAATCTAATCCTAATCTGATCATATCCTAATCTAATCTAATCCTAGTCTAATCTAATCCTAATCTAATCTAATCTAATCTAATCCTAATCTAATCTAATCCTAATCTAATCTAATCCTAATCTAATCCTAATCTAATCTAATCCTAATCTAATCTAATCCTAATCCTAATCCCTAATCCTAATCCCTAATCCTAATCCCTAATCCCTAATCCCTAATCCTAATCCCTAATCCTAATCCCTAATTCTAATCCCTAATCCCTAATCCTAATCCTAATCCCTAATCCTAATCCCTAATCCCTATTCCCTAATCCTAATCCCTAATCCCTAATCCTAATCCTAATCCCTAATCCCTAATCCCTAATCCTAATCCCTAATCCTAATCCCTAATCCTAATCCCTAATCCTAATCCCTAACCCTAATCCTAATCCCTAATCCCTAATCCCTAATCCCTAATCCCTAGTCCCTAATCCTAATCCCTAATCCTAATCCCTAATCCTAATCCCTAATCCTAATCCCTAATTCTAATCCCTAATCCTAATCCCTAATCCCTAATCCTAATCCCTAATCCTAATCCCTAATCCCTAATCCCTAATCCCTAATTCTAATCCCTAATCCCTAATCCTAATCCCTAATCCTAATCCCTAATCCCTAATCCTAATCCCTAATCCTAATCCCTAATCCTAATCCCTAATCCTAATCCCTAATCCTAATCCTAATCCTAATCCCTAATCCTAATCCCTAATCCTAATCCCTAATCCTAATCCCTAATCCCTAATCCTAATCCCTAATCCTAATCCCTAATCCTAATCCCTAATCCTAATCCCTAATCCTAATCCCTAATTCTAATCCCTAGTTCTAATCCCTAATTCTAACCCCTAATTCTAATCCTTAATTCTAATCCCTAATTCTAATACCTAATTCTAGTCCCTAATTCTAATCCCTAATCCTAATCCCTAATTCTAATCCCTAATCCTAATCCCTAATTCTAATCCCCAATTCTAAATCCCCAATTCTAAATCCCTAATTCTAAATCCCTAATTCTAAATCCCTAATTCTAAATCCCTAATTCTAAATCCCTAATTCTAAATCCCTAATTCTAAATCCTAATTCTAATCCCCAATTCTAAATCCCTAATTCTAAATCCTAATTCTAAATCCATAATTCTAAATCCTAATTCTAAATCCATAATTCTAAATCCTAATTCTAAATCCTAATTCTAAATCCTAATTCTAAATCCTAATTCTAAATCCCTAATTCTAAATCCTAATTCTAAATCCTAATTCTAAATCCTAATTCTAAATCCTAATTCTAAATCCTAATTCTAAATCCTAATTCTAAATCCTAATTCTAAATCCTAATTCTAAATCCTAATTCTAAATCCTAATTCTAAATCCTAAATCCTAATTCTAAATCCTAAATCCTAAATCCTAATGCTAAATCCTAATGCTAAATCCTAATGCTAAATCCTAATGCTAAATCCTAATTCTAAATCCTAATTCTAAATCCTAATTCCAAATCCTAATTCTAAATCCTAATGCTAAATCCTAATGCTAAATCCTAATGCTAAATCCTAATGCTAAATCCTAATGCTAAATCCTAATTCTAAATCCTAATTCTAAATCCTAATTCTAAATCCTAATTCTAAATCTTAATTCTAAATCCTAATTCTAAATCCTAGATCCTAATTCTAAATCCTAGATCCTAATTCTAAATCCTAATTCTAAATCCTAATTCTAAATCCTAATTCTAAATCCTAATGCTAAATCCTAATGCTAAATCCTAATGCTAAACCCTAATGCTAAACCCTAATTCTAAATCCTAATGCTAAATCCTAATGCTAAATCCTAATGCTAAACCCTAATGCTAAATCCTAATGCTAAATCCTAATGCTGAATCCTAATGGTAAATCCTAATGCTAAATCCTAATGCTAAATCCTAATTCTAAATCCTAATTCTAAATGCTAATTCTAAATCCTAATTCTAAATCCTAATTCTAAATCCTAAATCTAAATCCTAATTCTAAATCCTAATGCTAAATCCTAATGCTAAATCCTAATTCTAAATCCTAATTCTAAATCCTAATTCTAAATCCTAATTCTAAATCCTAATTCTAAATCCTAATTCTAAATCCTAATTCTAAATCCTAATCCTAAATCCTAATTCTAAATCCTAAAATCCTCTAAAAATCCTAATTCTAAATCCTAATTCTAAATCCTAATTCTATCCTAATTCTAAATCCTAATTCTAAATCCTAATTCTAAATCCTAATTCTAAATCCTAAATCTAAATCCTAATTCTAAATCCTAATTCTAAATCCTAATTCTAAATCCTAAATCTAAATCTAAATCCTAAATCTAAATCCTAATTCTAAATCCTAAATCTAAAAATCCTAAATCTAAATCCTAAATCTAAATCTTAATTCTAAATCCTAATTCTAAATCCTAATTCTAAATCCTAAATCTAAATCGTAAATCTAAATCCTAAATCTAAATCCTAAATCTAAATCTAAATCTAAATCTAATCTAACCCAATCTAATCTAATCTAATCTATTTTCTCTAAGTATCTGTCTATCTGTTTGTTTGTCTGTCTGTCTATCTATTTACTTATCTAATATATCATATCCAATATATCTATTTGTTTGTCTGTTATCTATCTATCTATCTATCTATCATCTATCAATCTATCAATCTATCAATCTATCAACCAATCTCATATATCTACATAATCTATCTATTTATTTGTTTGTCTATTTGTCTATCAAACTAGTCTAATCTTCTCTGATCTTATCTAATCTAATCTAAGCTAATCTAATCCAACCTCTCTAATCTTTCAAGTCTGTCTATTAATCTATCTAATCTATCTAATCCACCTAGTCTACCTTTTCTATCTTATCTATCTAATATGCCTACTCTATCCAAGTGACCTTACCTATCTATTCTATCTAAATAATCTACATGAAAGCAAAGCAGAGAAAAAAAACAGTTTCTCTTGAAACAAATTCCATTGCGGTCCTATCCTGTACAGTACTCTGACTGATGCAGGTTTCATGGAGTTTCCATGGAGTTTCCATGGAGTTTCCATGCAGTTTCCATGCAGGTTTCATGTTGGTTACATGCTGGGTTTGCTGATTTAGCTTACTGGTGTGTAACCTCCATGACAACTCCCTCGAACCTGCATGGAATCTGCATGGAACCTCCATGGAACCTGCATCAGGCAGAGTGCATGGTAAAACCAACAAGTGTAGATAGAGGCATCACCTCCATAACGCACATGGAAACTGCATGAAATCTACATCAATTCTCCATGGAACCTGCATGGAACCTCCATGAAAACTGCATCAGTTAGAAGGCGCCATGCAACCATCACGTTTAGACACAAGAAACAACGGAACCTACATGAAACCTCCATGAAACCTACATCAATTCTCCATGGAACCTGCATGGATACTCCATCAAAGAAGCGCCATACAAGCACCAGGTGTAGATACAGGGAACAGAGACTTTTTTTTTAGTGGACACTACGTGGAAACCATCAGACGCTTTGACGCAAATTGATCGCAAATCGATCGTAAATCGATCGTAAACTGATCGTAAAAAAACGCACAAAAACTGTCATAGCATCTGTGCATTTTGATGTCGTTTTCACTAGGTCATCTGTCTTTGTTGATGTCCCTTTTTGTTTCTGCACTGGAAAAGTCAATTTCTTCCAGAGTTTCTATTTATCCTGAGTGTTCACTGCTTGGTGGTTTCGATTTTGGCAAGGTTTCAAATGTGAATTTTTGTTTGATGTCATTTTGATGGAGTTTTATGTCTGTCTCGGTGTCAACTTGATGGAGGTTCCTAACATATAATATTGCAAACTAAGTTAATTAAAAGACGAAACCACCAAGAGAAATGAACTCACTTATGTCATCTTGGATTCTATGATCACCAAACCATATGAATATATGAATTGGCAAGTGCCGTTTTCTACAGGCCTTAGGTTCTTGTCGATGTCATATTGATGTTGTTTTATGGCCTTCTTATTCGTTTTTAGGCCGATGTCAAATCGATCGACAAAGGATCGCAAAATGATCGCAAAACAACGTCGAAATCCTACATCAAAATGACACATTACAAAGTCCACACTTGAAACCCTGGCCTTGCCAACATCAAAACCGCCAAGCAACGAACACTCAGGATAAATAGAAATTCTGGAAGAATTTGACTTTTCCAGTACAGAAACCAAAAGAAACATCAGCAAAGACAGATGGCCTAGTGAAAACGACATCAAAACGCACAGATGCTATAACAGTTTTTGTGCGATCAATTTAGTTACGATCGATTTGCGATCGATTTGCATCAAAGCGTCTGATGGTTTCCACGTAGTGTCCACTAAAAAAAAAGTCTCTGTTCCCTGTATCTACACCTGGTGCTTGTATGGCGCTTCTTTGATGGAGTATCCATGCAGGTTCCATGGAGAATTGATGTAGGTTTCATGGAGGTTTCATGTAGGTTCCGTTGTTTCTTGTGTCTAAACGTGATGGTTGCATGGCGCCTTCTAACTGATGCAGTTTTCATGGAGGTTCCATGCAGGTTCCATGGAGAATTGATGTAGATTTCATGCAGTTTCCATGTGCGTTATGGAGGTGATGCCTCTATCTACACTTGTTGGTTTTATCATGCACTCTGACTGATGCAGGTTCCATGGAGGTTCCATGCAGATTCCATGCAGGTTCCAGGGAGTTGTCATGGAGGTTACCCACCAGTAAGCTAAATTTGCAAACCCAGCATGTAACCAACATGAAACCTGCATGGAAACTCCATGGAAAATCCATGAAACCTGCATCAGTCAGAGTACAGGATAGGACCACACGGTTTCAAGAAACTGTCTTTCCCCCATTTCAAAAATAAATAGACAAGTACAGAAAAATGCACTAGAATTCAATAATCAATTAAACAATCACGTGAAATTATTGGACATTAAATAAGTGTACATTTTCCGAGATACAAGATGAATATCAATATCAATTCAAAAACAAACCTAATCTGGTAGCAATCATCGTTGTTTTAAATTTGTTTTCTTTATTTTCAACGACTTCATTGTTTGCAGGGTTTGATATTTTTTGTTTTTTCTAAGTTTACAAAACCATCAATTCCCAGACTTCCAAACCACCAACCCAAAACACCACGTAAGCACAAGTTGATATATCTGGAAAGAGTCATCGTAGTTGCTCCAAGTCAACCGCGTTCATTCAACACCAGTTGCAACAGCATTGAGAAGCGAAGACCCAGCAACTCCAAAAGATGTCACTTTTTTTCATGGCGGTTGGGAACAGCTCTGTTTAGGTCCCAGGCCAAAGTCCCGAGCCAAAAATTCTCAGGATTCACTTGTTCATCACCTTTGTTTGGGTCTTCTTGGGCGTTTTTGTGCGCGAGAGTGGCTTGCTTTGACATACTGGATGACAGACTGGATCCGTGTTTTTTTTGAACATCTGATCTCCGGAAGACTTCACATGAAAAGAACACAGAGATTTCAATCCTACCCTCTGGTGAACTAACATAGCTATTGAAAATTGCCATTTATAGTCGATTTACCCATAAAAAATGTGATTATCCATAGTTATGTTAGTCTACCAGAGGGTAAACCATCTATTTTGTGGATGAACATGGACCCAGAATGACTCAGTGGCCTTGACTTCGGCCTTGTGGTGACCTTGAATTATCCGTTGAAATGGTGCTGGAAAGGCGGTGCCACGCCCCTTTTTTTTAAGGGTGATGTGTAGCAAATGCGTTTGGAAGCCTACCTTGACATACCAAAAAACCCTCAAAGTACCCATCACAATTGGGTAAACCCACCATCTGGGTTTGTCCCGAAAGATGTACCCCCAAATCTACTGGTGTAGATCATTATACTTTTTCCATTGTTTGATGGTCACATATGAGGGGGAGAGATAGATATATAGATAGATATATAAATCCAATATTATTGGACAAGACCATGTCAAGTCAAACATTCCTGGATGTGCTGGTCAAAATCACACTTGTTGTAGTGTTTTTATTGCTCATTTCCCAGTTCTTGTTGGCTTAATCACCAGTTTTCATTTTCGAATCCCGTTTTTTTCATGGTTAATCTACTTCTTGATAGTAGAATATATACTTATATCATTTCTTAATGGTTCACTAATTACCCCTTTTTCGGTTTAACGTTTTTTGTGGCTTGGTAGTCCGTCCCAACGATCTGAGTGACATTCCCAGATGAATGTTCCATGATTGTCAGCCCCAAAAAGCCCATGGATCCATTATTATCCCATTATTATCTTTCTGGGGATATAACCAATGGTGATTTGGTTGGTGGTTTCAGTTGTTTTTTTTTTAATTGTGAACCATCAAGTATGGGTTTTCGAGGTTTTTTTTGAAAGGATAGCAACTTTTAGGAGTGGCCCTGTTAGGAGTAGCCCTGTTAGCAGGCTCTTGAATGAAATGAATAATTTTTCCCATTGGAAAAACCAGGGTTTTTCCCACCGGTCTTCCCAGGTTCTCCCACCTTTTCCTCGATTGGCTCGATGGCGGCAGCCTTCGGTGCTTCTACGCTGCTGGCGAAGAACTGCAGCATCTCGGACGGTTCACCAGGGCGATGAACATCGGTGGGGTGAGTGAAGAAACGATGGTGGTTGATGATGATTTTCTGGTTGGTGGTTTGGATGACATGTGGATGATGTATTACTAATGATTCATTCACATCATCCATCTAACATCAGCCATCTACTCTACTAATAATCATATCATCATAGTAATAATAGTAATATTCTCCACGAACATCAACACTTCAAAAAATCATCTGAGTGATAATCCACACCATAGCTGGTTGGTGGTTTGGAACATTACATTTATTTTCCATAATATATGGAATAATCATCCCAACTGACGAACATTTGTCAGAGGGGTTGAAACCACCAACGAGTTTTATATGGTGATGCTGGGGTAGGAAAATCGATGAACATCGTGGGTGAACCAGGAAAGATGGGTGATGTTTATGCAGCAAAAATGATGTGATTCAACCGTCAAAGATGGTGTGGGGAAGTTTTCAACAATACGGACATTTCGACAAACAAGTTGGTGATTTCTAGCGATTAAATCCAATATTGTTTTAAAGATGGATTTGAATGGACCAATGGGGGAATGATTGGATGACATATGATGACATACTGTAATTGGATACACAACCAACATCAGCCAAGTATATGGAGATCTTATACCAGACAAAATGGCTACGTAAGATATGCACACATGAGGTATAACACCAACACAATCCACCCATTTATGGGGATATATCATGCGATGAAGAAAGGTGGTTGCCTGCAATTCAAGGCGAAGATTTGGTGATTTCAATAAGAACATATGGATTTCAGCAAGAAATCTTGGGATACAACTGATTTTTTGCCAACCTAAACCCCAAATTTTTCAGTGATCATTTGGGGTTTCACATGGGATATGGTGGTAGTTCTATGGGGGAAACCCCAGATCCTCCAAGGGACCCTCCTTGGGTGGGTCATGGAGAAAGCCATGCTGGAACCGGTGGTGGCATGGGGTACAATCTTGAGAAATCCCCATATACCCTCTGGTAAACGTTTGCATAACTATGGAAAATCACCATTTTTAATGGGTAAATCTATAAATGAACCATTTTCAATAGCTATGTAATACCAGGTTCCACATTGATTCCTGTATGTTGGTGATAGTATGGCAAACTGCCTGGCAGACTGGAAAAAGTCTTATCCCGATTCATTGCCTGGGTATGATCTAGTTGAATCTACATGATATCCCAGCATTTTTTTGCTGGGTATGACATGTTACCCCATCAACATGGCAAATAAATCAACCGATTCCTCCTACGCTTCACTAACCAGTCGGTTTGGCAATCATTTCTTGGTTACATCCTCGGTTGGTTCACAAGTTTGTGAGTCACAGTTCTTGACAACTTCATAATTCATTACATATTCATTACTTTTTTTTTGTTTTTGGGGTCGTGGTGACCTTTATGGTTATGGGAAGAAAAAAAGTGTGTTTTCTTTGACGACCTCAAAGATCTCATCATGTTTGTTTCCGTGCAGCAAGAATCCAACTAGGGAAATGCAACTAAATCAACTAAATCATCAGAGTTCCAATTTTCCCATCTTTAATGCACGTTTTTATTTTTTCCCCCCAATTTTCCGCAGAGTGTGTTGAAGATGTCGCCTTTTTCGATCCAGAGCCGAGCTACCTGGCCTTTCTGCAAGGCGATCCAAGCATCAAGAAGGCGGACATTTTCGAGAGCTTGGCTCTGAACTGCATCGCGGCAGCTTGGCGCAGAATTTTACCCAACTGGGCGATGGAGTCGTCACGTTTATCTTCGATGGGGATGTGACCGTCGTATCACATATATCGTTTTAGTGAAATATGTGGTGAACACATATTATACAGTCACATATTATACAGTTTTACTGAGTTTTACTGAGTTTTACTGAAAGATCAACGAAAACAGTGGGTAGAAAAGCAAGAACTGATGATGGGGCTCACCAACAAATAGGGCGATCGTCATGTTTCGTCACTGGGTAGTGATCAAGCAGTGCTTGGCCCGTCTCCAAATCATTTCCTCATTGTACAAGTACCCAGTTGATGGTGAAACTCCACGTTTTTGCTTCGAAGTCCAACAGTTGTTATGAAGATTTTCACACATGGGAAATCCCAAAAATAGATGGTTTATCCCCCAAAATAGATGGTTTTTCTAAGTGCTAATCCCCAAATACAAACATCCCCGTTTATATTGAAACATCCTGTTCAAATGGATGATTTGGGGTACCCGTATTTTGGGAAACCCCCTTTGCAGCGTCGCTGCGTCACACCTATGAAATCCCATATTTGGAGGTTTTCTTTACGTCCAGAACTCCAAGCTATTTGAGATTCTGCTCACAACCACTGAAATGCTCCAGTGAAATGACGAACGAACAATTTGTTGATTTATAGCACTCCTCCGAAAAGAAACATCCAGTTCCAATATGGTGATACTTGAGGTTTCTTTCATCGTGTTTTTTCTTTAATACTATGTATACATCTACATTTTTTCACATCTCCACACATCATCATGAAAACACGTCCAGAAAAAAACCATGGCGCTCGCTCCGAACTTTCGCCTGTCTGACATCCAGAGTTGCTCCATCCGATTCTGCCCATTTTACCCCTGCCAAAACCGTAGCTACTTGGTTTAGCACTCAGGGGATCATCCCACGGATAAGTGGATAATATCCCACGGTTAGTTTGTAAGTCCCCTAACTGTTAGTGGATAAAAACATGGAAAAAATGACTCTGGTAAACGTTTACATATCTATGGAAAATCACAACGTTTATAATAGGTAAATCAATAATACATTGGCTATTGAAAAATAGCGATCTTAGTTTACCAAGAGGTTAAATCCCCATTTCTTGCCGTTTCAATAGCTATGTTTTTACCAGATGGGATAACTATGGTGATAAAAAAACACACTTCCGATCCGTGGGTTGACGTTGCCGTTTACACTACACTATTACTCTCTGGTAAACTAAGAGTTTGCTATGGGAAATGGGTGATTTATAGTTGGTTAATTTATATAACATTGTGATTGTTAGTTTACCAGAGGGCATGTATGTTCAAAAAGAAGCAGGGTTGCTGGCATGCATTTAGCCTCTGGAAATCAAACCTGACAAATTGAACATTCACTATACATCCACTATAGATGGTGGTTTCTGGCTTGGCAACATCATCTATAAACGGGGGGAAGTTTCCAGCCATGTGACTGATTCCCAGAAGGTATAGTTGATTTGAGCAGCTAGAAACCTCCTTTCAGTGAACTTTTCACTGTTAAATACTCCATTTATAGTAGGATTTTCCCATGTCAACTCCTCCATTTCTAGTATTTTTCTTTTTCGATTTTCCCTCGTCAACTCCCCCCATTTCTCTGTTCCCTATGGTGAACTCCCCATGTTTTCTCAGATTTTCCCTGGGATTTTCCCGATGGTCAACTCCCAAAAATTTCGGCAATCCATCCATTTCCCCATTCATAGAATTGGATGATGGGAAAATTTTAACCGGAGGTTTCCGGTTAAGAATTTCCCCAACACACCAATCCATTTCCCCCATGGATTTTACCCTCTGGTAAACGTTTACAAAAAACTATGGAAAGATCCACCATGCTATTAATGGGTAAACCAACTATTTCTATGGCCATTTTCAATAGCTTTTTGTATGTTTACCAGAGGGTATGGGTCCTCCAGGTGCTGATGACCACCCTGGTAAACCTGGGCATTCCCGCGGAGAACGCCTCGGATTTGGCCGTGCAGAACCTGGAGACCTGACGCTTGGTAGCGGTAGCCGTGTGGCCGTGGGGATGGGTGTTGTGAAGCCGTGAGATGATAGGGAGATGATGGGGATTTCTGGGAATATACCTGGGAACTATGGGATTTTTTGATGTTATTTTTTTTATATTTTTTGAAGCAAGATGATGGGAAGATGATTTTAGGGAAAATGGGGATTTCACTATAGCAACTATGGGAAATGATGGGGATGTTACTAGCAACTATGGGAAATTGATGGAAACATAGCTGGTGATGGGAATATGTTGGGAATACGGAATTTCACCATAGTTTCACCATGGGAGATGATGGGAATTTATGGGAAGATACCTGGGATCCAACCAGCTATGCACCACATCATCCCCCGGGACCATTCCAGGGACAAAGCCGGGACTGGGGGAGTTGTTCAGCCGAATTCCCGCAAGGTATGCTGAAGTTTAAGTCAACGTATTTTTCAGGATCATCCCACAAAAAATAGCTGGTTAATGTAATATCATCTCCTTATATAAGTTATTCACAAATATTCACAATTGGGCTTAATAACTGGGTTAAGTCATACTTTAAGTATCTTTAAGTCATAATAACTGGTTAGTAAGTGGCCTTAGAACCCCCTTAATCTCAGCGTATAGGACGACGCCTTAATCGGGGACTCGCAAGCGACTAGTGATGGGATGATCCATCCCAGGCTGGTCGTTGCTGAAGAAAAGCATCCATGAGCTGCCTGGCGTCGTAGCCGGCCTTTTGTTAACGTTTACAAAAAAACGATGGAAAGATCCACCATTTCTTGTGGGAAAATGTTGGTATACCATGATTTAAGTGTTGGTATATACCCTTTGGTAAACGTTTACAAAAAGCTATGGAAAGATCCACCATGCTATTAATGGGAAAATTAACGGACCTTAAATGGCCATGGCTTCAATAGCTATTTTGTTAAATAACCAGAGGGTAAATGAAAGGTCATGGAAGGATCCCCCCGATGTTTTTCGGTGATGTTCCCATTTTTACGTGCCATGATTTCGTGAAGGGGAATTTCCCAGGCTGTCCTGGGAAAGGTCAGATGAATCCAGCCCCTGGGGGATGGGAATCATCAATCCTTATGAGGGTTTTCCAGTGCCCATTGTAAGGAAATCCCATTCATGATGGTGGGATGACCGGAAGCCATTTGAGCCATGTAACTTGAACATGGCACTGAGAAGGCATGATGATCCCACATTTTGGATTGTCCCCACCCAAAATGGACAGATCGAGTTAATACCCAGTGCTAACATGTCTTATTCTTACTATCATTATTAAATCATTATTTTCATTTGTTCTATTTCCTATTATTGTAACATATTATATAGTATACATTCTATACATATCGCTACTTGTGGAAGGGATAAAGAAAACACCTCTGCGGCCATGGTGAGCCCGACCTGAACAGAGAGTCATGGGGGATCCCCAGATTTTTACCATGGCTGTTTCACTACACAGTCATGGCCATGGCCATCCATGACGACTGGATGATTGTACCATATTGTACCCAATGATTTAAGAAACCTCCACATCTCCCGAGTTTCAGTGGACCGGTTTGCTGGGTGATTTTTTTTTTAAAAATCTTAGTTTAATCCCGATGTCTGCTGCCTGGTTGTTTTGATGGTTCAGTTATGTTGGATATCCGTTTTTTGTGAAAGATGGTCTCAAGATCCCATTAAAATTGTCGTTTCCCTATCCTATTCCGACTGTTGCTGACCATCGGAGCTTCCGTCAACTGACCATCGGATCGGTCCAGCGGTTATTCTATTGTGGATGGGCCAGCGAAATCCGAATCACCAGTTGATTATAGGGTAAACATCCCATTGCTTTTTTGGGGTTTCAACATGTTTCAACAATCCAAGGTGGTGCAGGATTTCTTCCATCCACAGTATCTCCTGAACTGGATGTTGTGTTTTTCGCTGAGGCTTTACGATCCCAACATCAAAACAGTGACGTTCCGAGCTAGCCGCTGGGTTTTTTGAACCTGGCAGGTGGCCAAAGGTATGATATTTCAATTGAGTAGATAGAAATAGAATACGGGATTTTCAAAAAACATCACACACACATGGGAATATGCTCTATATCCAATATTCATCAATATTCATCAATATTCTATATTTCATCTACTCCAGGATTATAATCATATATAGAGCACCCCCGTAAATAGATGGAACAGTTGGAAACGAGGAAATGATGTGGAAAGCATCATCGAACAAACATTCTGGAACAACTCTCGTCATTTTTTTTTGGACACCTGGTGTCATTGGTTGAAGGCTCTGGCATTTCCTGGTTTTCCATCGCCAGCTGGCCGCGAAGTCAGAACACAAATGGCGAAGAAGTCCTCCAGTGATCCCACCAGCAGTTTGATCAACTCCTTTGTGTTGTTGATCAACATGGTCAAAACCACGATTTTTCATTGTTCACTTCTCATGAAACTCGTGGCTAACTCCTCAAGTTTCATGATGACCTCCTCTTTTTTCCATAGTTCAATCATAGTTCAACTCCAAAATTTTGCTGCTTAACTTAGCTCAACTCCCATTTTTGACCCCGCCTCTGGGCCTCGCTTGGCCTCGCTTCATGCGTCCCATGCGTCCCCGAGGCGAGGCGCAGCTGGCGCTGCAGAAGGCCCGCGAGATGGGCAACGAGGCATCGTCCGAGCCGCGGCTCTGGCGGATGCCGCTGGGCAGATGAGTCTTCACCATGGCCTGATGGGATTTTTTGGAACAGACATTTTTTTCAGGCATGGATTTTGGCATGGATTTTATATGCCATGATTTATATGATGTTTTTTTTTGATGGGATTTGTTTAAATAAATATATATATAATATATCATGTTATTCTTCTACTAATAGTGATTTATATGATGCTTCTTGATAGGATTATTAATAGTGATTTATATTTATTTTCGATGTATATATATATACATACATATCATGTTCTTTTTTTAAATAGTGATTTGTATGATGTTTTCTTGATGTGTTTATATATATATATAGATATCATGTTTTTTTATTGATAGTGATTCATATGACGTTTTTTTCTTGATGGGATGTTTATTGGATTTTCAAAGACCACGGTTAAATACCCATGATTCCAATGTGTTTTTTTTTTAATTGGATTTTTGTAATCCATGATTTTCAAAGACCATGTCTTAATATATATATATATATATATACCATGGGATGTGACATATATTTTGAAATTGGGTGACTTAGCTTTCGGTCACTAGTGACATGTTACATTGTTTTTTAACCGAGGAATTTCGCGATGGGAGTTTGAAACCATTGATAGAGCGAAGTTGAAACGGTTGGTGGGATGGAATACAACTTTCTGGTTGGTGGTTTGGAACATGAAATTTATATTCCATTTCATATATGGGATGTCATCCTTCCCATTGACTTTCATATTTTCAAGATGGTTGAAACCACCAACCAGACGTTATTTTTCCTCCGTTTGATGAGGTTTTTGAGGATCATAGATCTGGTGATATAGCCTCTGGTATACAAAAAAAGATGGACAATTACCATTCAACGGACCAAATGGCCATTTTCAAGAGCTATGTTAGTTTACCAGAGGGTAGTTGATAATTGATGCTTGGTTGAAGTTGGTTGATGATTTATTTGGGATAAAACTATCCTTTATATATTCGGGATCATCAGAATTCATGAACTGGGAACTTCCATCAGCAAAATAAAAAAAGGTACGACATTTTGGCTTTTGAATATTGCTGAGCATCACGTGCATGGTGGTTTTTTGCATCACATTTTTATATCGGAAAATCATGGGAAAAAGCTGCCGGAGATGACCCCATGAAGCTGGGGAAACCATGAAACATGGGGGGTCAACGTGATTGAATCCAAAAGGGGAAAGATTAGACACCAGACTTGGGAATATCAACAAATACCAACACTGCTTGGTGGTGACTGGAACCATGGAATTTTATGACTTTCCCATCATATTGGGAATGTCATAACCCCAACTGACGAACTCCATCATTTTTCAGAGGGGTAGGTATACCACCAACCAGAACAATATGGGAGTAGAATACAGGGATATTTTTGGGACCGACTCGCAACTGCTTTGTGTTTGCCAAGCATGTCATGCTGGAATTGTTTGGGGAGTTGAAGAACAACGCAACTTTGGGGGCTTCTTTACTGGTACCCATCCCTTGAATGCAGATAGACATACTGGGGTTTTTATCAGGCGAAATCTGCAGGGGCAACACTCCGAAAAAGTGGACCCCCCTATGCGGACGATCATTGGAAGTTGCTGTAAAGACGGTTTCCATGTCACATCTTTCATGGGTTTTTAACCACAAAAAATCGGTGGCATCATGTAAACTCTGAATTCTATCCAATTTGTGCACTTAGTGGCACAACATCTTCTTGTACCCTTCAATTTTCAGTCCAAACAAACCTCAGTTCGTGGTAAAAATTCACCTCGAAATCTAAAAATTCACCATAGTCCTCATAGTTCTCCATACTTTACTCATTTTACCATATGATTACCATATGATTACCATATGATTACCATATTTATAGATGTTCCAAGATGTTCCCCATCGACGGTCATAGATTACCCGGAATCTGCAGAATTCCCAGGCCCTGGAAGACGAGTCTGTGGGAGGCCGTGCTGGATGATACAGCGCCTTGGACGATGGGATCTGATGGGTTTTATGATGGGATGATATGACTATAACATATTATAAATATGATGATTATCTATGATCTATATGAATTTATGGAGATCTGAGATGTGTAATGGAATTTCATGGGATTTTTTTTTATCATGATCATTTTACAGTTATTAGTTTTTTTGTTTTTTAAATGTTTAGTATGTAAAAATGTTTAATACATATCAACCCGCAAAAAGATGCAGACCAGTGTTAAATCCGATTCTTGAGCAATTGAACGTTGCATCTTTTTGGGGGAACGGAGGAAGTTTTAAGGAGCTAGGCAGCTAGGCAGCTTCGAAATCCCCTATATAATTATGAAGTGCGGAGCTAAGGACGATGGCAGAGTCTCCCGTGTTCACATGGTAGACGACATCTGATCAAGTTGCTATCTGAATGGTGGTTTCATATAATCGAAGGAAGTTTAGAAGTCAAACTTCCGACAATATGGACAGATGAAAAGCAGAGCAGGGAAGAGGCAGAGAGAAGAGAAAGATCAGAAGAGAGAAGAGTAGAAGAGAAAGAGTAAGAAGAAAGAAGATGGAGATGCGCGAAAAGGTAGGAAAGTCGCGATTCACGGTGTTTTTCCAATGATTTGTGGCTCCGGAGTCGAAAAGTAGGCTCGCTAAAGCGGCGGGTGCGGAGCCAGCTGGCCAGAGGAGAGATGAAAAATTGCACGCAGTTGTGGCGCGAAGCACATTTCCAAGTCAAAATGCACAAAACACACCATTGTCGGATCACTTTTGGAAGTTGCAATGTCGAAAAAGTGCACGCCGTTGTGGCGCGAAGCACATTTCCAAGTGAAAATGTACAAAACACACCATTCTCGGACCACTTTTGGAAGTTGAGATGACGAAAAAGTGCACGCCGTTGTGGCGCGAAGCGCATTTCGAAGTCAAAATGTACAAAACACACCAGCTCCGGACCACTTTTGGCAGTTGAGATGTCGAAAAAGTGCACGCCGTTGTGGCGCGAAGCGCATTTCGAAGTCAAAATGTACAAAACACACCAGCTCCGGACCACTTTTGGCAGTTGAGATGTCGAAAAAGTGCACGCCGTTGTGGCGCGAAGCACATTTCGAAGTCAAAATGTTAAAAGCACCAGGGGCTCGGACCACTTTTGGAGGTTCGGATGTCGAAAAAGTGTACGCCGTTGTGGCGCGAAGCACATTTCGAAGTAACAATGTTCAAAACACTAGGGGTTCGGACCACTTTTGGAGGTTCAGATGTCACTTCGCTTCACTCACTACACTACACTACAGGACATTACACTACACTACACTCCAGTACACTACATTACACTACACTACGCTCCAGTGCGCTCCACTACACTAAATTACACTACACCACACTACATTACATTGAATGACACTGCAACGCAGATAGACAGGTAGACAGCTAGACAGATAGACAAATGAAAGGGAGAGATAGATAGATAGGTAGGTAGATAGATAGATAGCTAGCTAGGTAGGTAGGTAGGTAGATAGATAGATAGGTAGGTAGATGGATATATGGATAGATGGATAGATGGATAGATAGGTAGGTAGATAGATAGATGGATAGATGGATAGATGGAAGGATAGATAGGTAATTAGATGAGAGAGAGAGATCGATCTATCGATAGATAGATAGATAGATAGATAGATATAGGTTGGTTGGTGGGTAGATAGTCAGAGGAAGAAAGAGAATGAGAGGAGACCTCAAGCACCTTTCGGTCCATCAGTGGATTCGCTCTGCCATCCCTGATTCACAACAACCAATCTCTCCTATAGGTTTCCTATTTTTGAAACTTCCGCCACCGCCTTGTGCGGTACTACTGGTATATATAAAAATATATTGACTATTTTCAACCGCAAAGATTCAGGAAACAGTCAATCCTTTTCACTATCATCAACTGGTAGTGTGGGGAGGCCCTGCCGGCATACCCGGTCACACGAAAGGATTGTAGCAACCAGCCGCGACACAACGTTCCAAGACCAACATGTTCTCGGACGGTTGTAACATGCCGACGAGAATCATGGCCACAACACCAGAACTTCCACGAAAGACACTACCGCACATTACTCGAATTTTCGCCTTCCTTCTGTCACCGTAAACATTGATTCAGCTACACCTTTGCAGCCGTGCCATGGAGAGAGGGCCGGAGAGTGTGCCCGTGAGCGGTGAGGTGGCTGAAAGTTCCATCAAACTTGAGGTCTCCTTGCCAAGTGGGCGGTATGAAACTGTCACGGTCTCGCAGTCTGGCACCGTTGCTGACTTGAAAATAGCTGCGCAACAGTCTTTTGGGCAAAGTTTCCTGAGGCTTGTTGCGCCTGACGGGCGTGTTTTGGATCCAACGGACTCTATTTGGCTTTCTGGGCTTCAAGATGGAGACAGCCTCACTGCTCTTGCACAGCAGCCAAAGATAGCTGCAACATGGAGTGCGTTTGCTTTGTGGTGTGTTGGAGGTGATAGAATTGTCACATGGGGTCATCCTGACTTTGGTGGCGACAGCTCCAGAGTCCAAGATCAGCTGAGGAATGTTCAGGAGATTTGCGGTGCATACTATGCTTTTGCTGCGGTTTTGGCAAATGGAACTGTGGTGACATGGGGCAAAGCAGACCGCGGAGGTGACAGCTCACGAGTCCAAGACCAGCTCAGGAACGTCAAAAGGATTTCTGGCACTGACCGTGCTTTTGCTGCGATCTTGGCAGATGGAACCGTAGTGACCTGGGGCAATCCAGACCGTGGTGGTGACAGCTCCGGAGTCCAGGATCAGCTACGGAATGTTCAGGAGATTTGTGGCACTTGTGGCGCTTTTGCTGCAGTCTTGGCAGATGGAAGCGTGGTAACGTGGGGCCGTCCAGACCATGGTGGTGACAGCTCCAGAGTCCAAGACCAGCTAAGGAATGTTCAGCAGATTTATGGCACTTTTGGTGCTTTTGCTGCGCTTTTGGCAGACGGAACAGTAGTGACTTGGGGCCATCCAAAATATGGCGGTGACAGCTCCAGAGTCCAAGATCAGCTGAGGAATGTTCAGCAGATGTGTGGCACATGTATCTCCCTTGCTTTTGCTGCGCTTTTGGCAGATGGAACCGTACTGACATGGGGCAATCCATATCATGGTGGTGACAGCTCCAGAGTCCAAAACCAGCTCAACAATGTTCAGAAGATTTGTGGCACATTAGGTGCTTTTGCTGCGATCTTGGCAAATGGAAGTGTGGTGGCATGGGGCCACACAGACTTTGGCGGTGACAGCTCCAGCGTCCAAGATCAGCTGAGGAATGTTCGCCAGATTCGTGGCACAGGCGGTGCTTTTGCTGTCATCTTGGCAGACGGAACGGTGAAGACATGGGGCGATCGAAATGCTGGTGGTAATAGCTCCAGAGTCCGAGATCAACTCAGAAATATTCAGCAGCTTTGTGGCACACACCATGCTTTTGCTGCGACCTTGGCAGATGGAAGTGTGGTGACATGGGGCCGTCTGGGCTATGGTGGTGATAGCTCCAAAGTCCAAGGTCAGTTCATACACATCTAGGCGGGCGCCACGGCGAAAAACCATCAAGTAATGCGAGCTGACTTGCATCTGTTTCGGGTCAATGATTGGCCCCAAAAACATCGTCCTGTTATTGGCTGTGCTCGCTCATCACTTTCTCAGAGGGTGCTGGCTCCAGTGAACCCGTCCTGTGACGGCTGGGCGCCAGGGCCATGGGTCAGGTCATTGGGAAATGGGCGGATCGGGTACTGCTGGCTGAAGATCTGGCAGATTTTTTCGCATGGACCGCCGGGAAGAAAAGAATCGTCAGCTCAGACTATTTCAGGGAGAGTTGCAATGATCATCCATCCATTTCGTAGACGGCTGTGGGCCAACTCGTTCATAGAAATGAATCAAATGAGTGGGGCAAACACATCAACACTGACTACTCTACCAACATGTTGGGATGTTGAAGAAGATACAGAAGATACCAGGGTTCTGACCCACACTCTAATCATAGGCATTTTATTGAGCTATGAGTTATGATCTTTGAATTTACTTTTACAGACTATGTGGCACTTATCCTTCTTGGACCGGTTTTTAATCGAGGGGCGCTTACAGTCGGCTGCGACAGTCGGAAGTCTGGAAGGACGCAATCCTACAGCAAAAAAATCACCCATACGCAATCCATATTAGTGTACATTCTTGGCACTGAAATCTCCTGCCACCGTAGGATGGAACCTTGAGAAAAAAAATGTCAATGTCTACGGCATTTCATTTTCAGAATGGCCTGAAATATACCCACTGGTAAACGTTTACAGAAATATGGAAAATCACCATCATTAAGAACGGTAAATCAACTATTTCTATGGGCCATTCTCAATAGCAAACTGTAACAAATTACCCAGGTAAGTGGCAAATAACTTGGTAGGTGGCTATAGGTGGTAAATAACCATAGTTACCCTCTGGTAATTTAACATAGCTATGGAAAATCACCATTATTACTGGGAAAATCCACTATTTCAATGGCCATTTTCAATAGCTATTTTGACATAACCAGAGGGTAAACCTCCATTTTCCTATGGTTTTCCTATGGTTTTCCTATGGTTTTCCTATGGTTTTCCTATGGTATAAGTTTCAACTGTAGTGGTTGTGACATGGTGGCGGTGACCTGTTCCATCCTTTCAGAAGGCCATGGAAAATGGGTGTCGGAATGTTTTTCATACAACCCCATATATATATCCCTATATTGTCGGTTATAGCAGTTATATAGCAGTTGTATATCCAACTATATATATATGTATATATATATTGTATGTATATATATATATGATATAATGGTATATGTATATCTATGATATATGTATATATATATGATATATATATATATATGTATATACATATGATAAATATATATGATGTATGTAAATATATATACAAACATAATATATTTTTATACATATGATATATGTGTATGTATATGATATGTATATATATATACATGATATATGTACATATATATGATATATGTATATATATATGATATATGTATATATATATGATACACACATATATATATGATACACACACACACATATATATATATATATATGATATATGTATATATATATATATACATATCCACTATAGCTCTAATCCATTCCATCTCTTTTATATTGTTGGTTCAGCCCCAAATTCAATTCGGGATTCCACTGGTTCCGCTCCTTGTCCAATTTTTCAGAACATCCCACGGATGGATCTTAAAACAGATTTCCAAATTTTGTTTCTGTTGATTAGAACGATTGAAATCACCATTTTTCCTGGGGGAATGTCATTTTCATATGCAAGATCGCCCCTCTGGCATGCCCGGTCATTGAAAACTGTAGAAAAGGATTGTAGCAGCCGCTTACGGTAAAGTTTGACCAGCATGTTCTCCAAGGGATTGAACATTTATTCACACAGTTGCGGCCGGCCGTGCCATGAAGCGTAGAATCGGGAGCGGTGAGGTGGCTGAAAGTTCCATCAAACTTGAGGTCTCCTTGCCAAGTGGGCGGTATGAAACTGTCACGGTCTCGCAGTCTGGCACCGTTGCTGACTTGAAAATAGCTGCGCAACAGTCTTTTGGGCAAAGTTTCCTGAGGCTTGTTGCGCCTGACGGGCGTGTTTTAGATCCAACGGACTCTATTTGGCTTTCTGGGCTTCAAGATGGAGACAGCCTCACTGCTCTTGCACAGCAGCCAAAGATAGCTGCAACATGGAGCGCGTTTGCTTTGTGGTGTGTTGGAGGTGATAGAATTGTCACATGGGGTCACCCAGACTTTGGTGGTGACACTTCGAGCATCCCAGGTCATCTCAAGAATGTGCAGCAGATCTGTAGCGCAGGAGACACTTTTGCTGCGATTCTGGCAGATGGAAGCCTCGTGACCTGGGGTGATCCAGACCAGGATGGCGACAGGTCCAGAGTCCAAGATCAGCTTAAGAATGTGCAGCAGATCTGTGGCGCAGGAGAAGCTTTTGCTGCGATTCTGGCAGATGGAAGCGTCGTGACCTGGGGCCATACAGAGTATGGCGGTGACAGCTCGGGAGTCCAAGATCAGCTGCGGAATGTTCAGTCGATTTGTGGCACATGCACTGCCTTTGCTGCCATTGTGGCAGGTGGAAGCGTCGTGACCTGGGGCAATCCAGACGATGGCGGTGATAGCTCCAGTGTCCAAGATCAGCTCAGACATGTAGAGCAGGTTTGTGGCTCATATGGCGGTGCTTTTGCTGCCATCCTGGCAGATGGAAGTGTTGTGACATGGGGCAATCCTCATGGTGGTGACAGTTCGAGAGTCCAGGATCAACTCAGGAAAGTTCAGCAGATTTGTGCCACACAGACTGCATTTGCTGCAACCTTGTCAGAGGGAACTGTGGTGACGTGGGGGTATGAAAGCCACGGGGGTGATAGCTCCAGTGTCCAAGATCAACTCAGAAATGTGCAGAAGATCTGTAGCACGCAGCATGCCTTTGCTGCCATTTTGGCAGATGGAAGCGTTGTGACCTGGGGCCATCCAGACTATGGCGGTGACAGTTCCAAAGTCCAAGATCAGCTAAGGAATGTTCAGCAGATCTGTGGCGCAGAGAGAGCCTTTGCTGCCATTTTGGCAGATGGAAGCGTTGTGACCTGGGGCGATCCAGACTATGGTGGTGACAGCTCCAAAGTCCAAGATCAACTCAGCAATGTTCAGCAGGTCTGTAGCACGCAGCCTGCTTTTGCTGCCATTTTGGCAGATGGAAGCGTTGTGACCTGGGGCCATCCAGACTATGGTGGTGACAGCTCCAAAGTCCACGGTCAGTTTATGTACATCTAGGTGCGCGTCAGGGCGAAAACAATCAAGTGCTGCTCGCTGATATGCATTTGTTTCGGGGAACAATTTGCGCGTAACATCCTCATGTTGCTTACTCATCACTTTCTCAACTGCAGGAAGATACCAAGATTTGGGGTTAAAGCTTCATTCCTACATGTTTTGGCGTTGATGACAATAATCTATTGCCATCTATTGCCCATGTAGCTGAGATTACAATTGAGAAAACAATACAGATGTAAATGTCTGGGCATTTTATTTTCAGAAGAAGGGGCTGAAATACATCCGTTTAAACTGTGGTCGTGCCCACATGGGTTTGCTCGTTTGCTCGAGTACCCATGGTTAAGACAGTGACATGGACCCCATCCTTTCATGGCCATTTCATGGGTCTAGTCTTCAGTCAACCCCACATATCCGTATATTGCTATTTGGCAGCTCATATCCCATTGTATCTCTTAGTTATAGCTATTATAGCTATATATTGCTAAGTGTATTGCTAAGTGTATTACTATTATATTGTCCATTATATATTGCTAAGTGTATTCTATGTTTTCTTACATCCCAAAGTTTGTGGTTTGTCTCCTTGCGATGACCCATGTCTGTTGTACCTCTATTAACCCCATCAATTAGGTTCAATTAGAGTACCAGTTTTTGTAGGCAAATATGTCGCAGATGGATCCTTGCATTGAAACTCGGGTATACACTTAGTATCACTTAGTTATATATAATGTTATATATATACCATTCTATCCCGTTCTATCCACCGTTATATCCGTCGTAGAATTGTTGGTTAAAAACATCTAAAGGCCCCAATTTTTGTTGGTAAATCACCCGTTTCTGTTTGTGGAGATTTGATCCATTGTGAAAAGCAGAAATTGTTTGTTCATATCCCCATGTTTCTTGGTGAACACAATCATGCTAATGGGGTAAACCACCATTTTTACGGGTTAAAGAAACGAAGAATGTTATGCACATGTGCTTCTCAAAGCTTATCCCCAGATCGAAATGTCGAACATTTTTTTCTTAATCTTGTTGACGTTTTGATAGTTGAATTGACATGTTTGTTGGTGAAATCATTTTCCCATCTTTTTCCCTGGTTCTCCCTCACAAAAGCACCACATCTCACGTAACGTAGCAACATCTCCGGCCGAGGCACACATGGTGGCAACCCTGTCGACCATGGAGCATGCGGTGGTGGTTGGTGGCGAAGTGAGTGGTCCAAAAAAGGACAACGTGGCGATTCGATCACTTGGGGTTGCTATAATGGGAACATCAACCAAAAATAGAGGTTTCCAGCTGGGAAAACCAAGTATAAATGAGGATTCCATGGGAGAATCAACTATGAATTGGTGGCTCAATGAGCATGCATTGCAACCATTATCAGAAGTGAGGAGAAGTTGTTGCAGTGTGACCTGGTTTCTCGTGGAATGACACGTGTCATTCCACGAAAGACTGGCGGATGATATTAACAGGGATTCCCATCATACATTGTGGCCCAAGATATTCAGTATAAACCCCTGTTTATCGAGGATTATATGGAGTTATACTATCCAAACATATGCCATGATATGGCAATATATTGGGATGATCACAATCCACAAATTGGGAACCCCGTTTTATTACCAACAGAAAGGAACGACATGTCGTGTTTTGAACACTGCTCAAGTGGTTGATACTGGGTTTATTGCAGATATCTGGAACTAGTCAATCGTTGCAAAGGACAAACCCATTTGAACGTATCAGCAACTGTCAAACCTAGATGTAACGCTAGGTATATCCAACATTATCCAACTAGTTCACAACTGGGAGGGCTGGATATAATAGTGGGGTTATATCATGGTTGATGGGAGAACCTTGGAGCTGAACATCCAGAAACGGGAACATCATCGAACTCTTTCTGGGGGTCCCATTGCAACATGCTAGCCATGTGACCAATTACCAGTACCCTCTGATAATGGAGGTTTATAGCTGGGAAAACCATAGGAAAACCATAGGAAAATGGAGGTTTACCCTCTGGTTATGACTAACATAGCTATTGAACATGGCCATAGACATAGTGAGTTTTCCCATTAAACATGGTGGATCTTTCCATAGTGTTTCGTAAACGTTTACCAGAGGGTAAGACTTTAGATGATCGCCTACTTTTTCCCGAGAGCGCCTAGGCTTTGTAGGGTTCTTCTAAAAAAAGGAGCGGAGATAATGCATCTTCACATCGTACGTCTGCAGATCTTACATCTTCAGATCTTTCGTCTGCAGATCTTACGTCTTCACATCTTAATTATTTTCACAGTTGAAATCTTCAGATCTTACGTCTGCAGATCTTACATCTGCAGATCTCACGTCTGCAGATCTTCCATCTGCAGATCTTGCTCTCTCTTCTCTCTCTTTTCTCTTCTTGAGGCGGGACAGTGGCGACGAGCGATCACGAAAATGCGACAGTTACGCACGAAATAAGGTTGGACCGTCAAAAACCGAGGAACAAATTGTGATTTTGAGTTGTCTATTGCGACCCTTACGCACGACATGAGGTTTGATCGGCAAAAACTGTTGGAACATTTCTGATTTTGAGTTACCTATTGTGACCCTTACGCACAAAATGAGGTTCGATCGTCAAAAACTCAGGAAAATTGTGATTTTTCTTGGCCCCAAAGTGGGTTCCCGAGCATAATATGACATTTTGATAGTAGACAACTGAGGAAAATGCGTGATCATGCTGCGGCAGGTCAGGTCCCGAAGTGGGCTTCCCAAGCATAATATGTCATTTCGATAGTAGAAATCTGATGAACATGTATTATATTGTATTATTATGCTGCGGCGGGTCAGGTCCCGAAGTGGGGTTCCCAAGCATAATATGACATTTTGCTAGTAGAATGTGTGAAAGCGTCTGTGTGTAAAAAGGGTTGGTGTGTAAAAGTGTCTGTGTGTAAAGCGTTTGTGTGTAAACGCCTGTGTGTGTCTAAAAGCTTCTGTGCGAAAAAGCGTTTGTGTGTAAACGCCTTTGTGTGTAAAAGCTTCTGTGTGTTAAAGCATCTGTGTGTAAAAGCGTCTGTGTGTAAAAGCATCTGTGTGTAGAAAGGTCTTTGTGTAAACGTGTCTGTGTCTAAAAACGTACGTGTGTAAAAGCGTCTGAGTGTAAAGGCGTCTGTGCGCAAAAGCTAGTTCCCCATTGGTCCCCTATCTCATGCGTGCTCCCGTGTTAGGTCAGGTTTCGGTCCTTCGCGTGCCGAGGTAGGTTTGGCGGTTGTGTCAGGCGCTTCGTCCGTCGCTTTTTCTTTTCCCTTGCCCTTTCAGGGTTTGCCCGTTCTGGGCTAGGTGTGTTGGTGTTGGTGTTCTCCCTTTTTTCCGTCTTCTTTTGCGTTCCCCGTCTCGTGTTCCGATTAGGTAGTTTGTCATTTCATGGTCATTTCCATCTTCATTTCATCCACCCTGCTGCGGCAGGGTGTGTGTGTGTGTGTACCATCTGAATAGATGTAAAACTTCTCATTATTGCAGGGGCGTGTGGCACTCATGTCCTGCCACACGCAATGAAGCTTGTGGGCACGAGTGGGAAGGGAAACGTGGCCGGTTTCCTGTACCTGCAGCATCCTGCAGCTATATTTATATGTATAGTCCCGCCCCCGGGCGCATTTAAGTCGCAGCTGGGGGGGACCTATATTTTATCGCTGTTGGTTTATACTGTCATTGTCTCCTGTGATTATATATACGCATCCTATCATTTAATAGTTGGTGTTTTTGCACGTCCGATGCATTCCACAGCAAAATCCGCAACGACAGTTCTAATCAAGTGTGTGTGGGTAAAAGGGTGTGTGACGGTGTGTATAAAAGCGTCTATATGTAAAAAAAACTGTGTTTAAAGGCGGCTGTGTGTAAAAGCGTCCGTGTCTAAACGTGTTCTGCGTAAGAGCGTCTATGTGTAAAGGTGTCTGTGTTCGATCTTCGCATCCTACATCTTCTCCATTACTCTCTTTCCATCACCCTGTCATTTTCGTACACTGTTTATCTTCTAGTGCCAAGGGCAGACTCCTGTTTTCACTGTTGTTACACCTCTTAAATCTTATTTTGCCAGTTAAATCCCTATTTCACTGGTGCAATCCCTGTTGCTATCCCCACGGCTTCATGGCCGGCGTTTTTTGCAGCGCGGTTTTGCGCCAGGAGTCTCTTTGGAAGCTGATGCACCTTGGTAAATGGGTTTGTCTGAAAATAGTGTACCCCTACATCCAATGGTTAATGATCATTATCCCTACTAAATGGCTATAATTGGGGGTATACCCCATTTTCAGACATACCCAAATTTTGGAATGGGATGGAATGGGATGTGGCTATGGGTCAGCTTGAATGCAGCTGTACCATGAATGGAAAATCCACTAAATGGGATTTTTCAACTTGCCATGTTGGATTACTGGAGGGATCTGGAAGGTAATTTTATGTTTTGTGTGTATATATATATATTATATATGTACAATTATCGTATATATATATATACATAATAGGCAAGCATTACACACATATATATATATATTTACGTATGCAAGTCTGCGTATGTTATGTATATATATATATATACACATAAAACCATGTCTTTTTTTGGGCAACCAAAATTTGACCGACGATCACGAGGATGATGAATCTCTCAAAAAGGGGTGCCCGCAAATGACACGGTCTACTATCAAAGATGGTCCCAACTTGTAGTGTCTGGTCGGATCTTTTTTGGACGCAGACTCAAGTGAGTATACAAACAGCTTTCATGGGTAGCATGGGTCTGTGCAACCCCAAACCAAATCTTTTTGTTGTTGTGTCTTTGTGTGGTTCGAGACCTGGCAATAACTCAGGACACTCTTGCAGATACGGAAATGATGACCGAAATTCCTGATTCCAAAATTGCAATGGATTATAAACTATGTTTGAATCCCAGCTAGCAATGTACATTGCTTTTGTGATTAGATCATTTTTCCATTTTTTCCATTCTCATACAGAGCTATATCATGTAGTGTTTGCTTACCTTAACATGAAGCAACTAGGACGTCCCAAAACATGACCAGATTTTAGGTCGCCGTCCCATGGGGGCACTGAGGCAACAGAGCCATCTTTTCAGGCCCCTCGGATTTCGAGAATTTCGGGCAACATTCTGGTTCATGGTACCCCATGGGACCCTGAATTTCTGCACCAGCTGCTAGGTTGGGCCACCTGAACTCGGGCCACCTGAGTTGGTCGCATATGATATTGATGACTATAATTTCAAAGATACAGTGGAAGGATAGTCGCATGGAAAATGGTCTACTGTATCTTTTATTTGCGTGTTTTTTCATGTTTTTTCCATTGACTTCCTCAAGAGATTGTGCTTGGGGGATCATCCCACGGTGATCATAAAGTCCCAATGCCCCACAGCATAACATTTTTCGGAAAAATCCATGATTACTAACCAGTTTGTTGATGTTTTTTGGCTCACTTTACCAGTGGCCGTTGCCCCACGGTCCAAGGCACTCGGCGCAAAACACCGTGCTGAAGACCGGGGGGGATGGTGTGGAGCGGCCCTGTGGTCCTGGAAGATTCAGGTTCCAACGATGCGTTCCGTGAAACATAGCCTTGTTGAATGGGTATTATTAAGGGAGTTACCCTCTGGTAAACTAACATAACTATGGAGAATCACTTTTTTTAATGGGTAAATCAACTATAAATGGCCATTTTCAATAGCTATGTTAGTTTACCGTGAGGGTATACTACCTGATCTACCTGGCTTATTGGGGATTATCGGATTATCCATGATTATGATTGGGTAAATGGGAGTTAGGATCTACCTGGATCTGGGTATTATCCCTGGGTTGGGCAAGCGTTTTTAATCAACTAGTATTTCATGAGACAGGATAGGAGTATTTTTTATGGCTCAGATGATTAATCTTGTTGTTGCTGTAGATGTGTATAGATAATATACCATCTGGTTAAAGTAACATAGCTATGGAAGCCATGGCCCATAGAAATAGATGATTAATGCTGATTTGAATATGATAAACAGATCTGTAGAAATCAAAGGAAATAGTATGAAATAGTGGCACATAACTAGCAATTGTCAATATTGGGATGCCGAACATTATCTATATATGTGTGTATATATATATATAACTATAATGATAGGACATATTGATTAGGACACTAACAACATCAATTATTAACAGGAAATTAACAATGTTCAACAATACCAATGATATTAGGACCTATGGGGGTTTCCTAAGTCATGGTAGCCCAAATCAGATCATCAAGTCGTTATGGATTCCCAATTTTCAAAACCCTCCATATGTGCATATATATATATAGATAAATAGATGTAGTAATTTGTCAAACCCAATACTAAACCATCTCCCAAATCACTTTCTTTTTTTGGGTGGTAAAAACCATCCCCAAATGGTAGGTGGTTTATTATTGGGTTGCCCACATTCTTCTTCTTATTTTTTTTTATCTTTATTATCATTATTATGTTTATTATCATATATATATATAAATGTATATACCATGGTCATTTCATGAGCGGGTGTAGGAAATGGTTCGTGTTCAGCGCCTCATCGCAGGAAGATGGATGTGGGAACCAAGCTAATCGGCATCTTCAAGCACGCGTCGCTTGGCGTGATGCATTGATGGGGTTACCACGCATTTTATAGGGAATGTAGTCCCTAGATTTATGAAATGCCTTTGGGCCACAGCCCTAGAGTCAAATGCATATCCAAAGTCCCAAAATGGATATACATATATACACACATACATACATACATACATGCATGCATGCATGCATGCATACAAACATACATACATACATACATACATACATACATACGTACGTACATACATACATACATGCATACAAACATACATACATACGTACGTACGTACGTACCTACATACATACATGCATGCATGCATGCATACATACATACATACATACATACATACATATGTTACATACATACATACATACATACATACATACATACATACATACATACATACATACATACATACATACATACATACATACATACATACATACATACATACATACATACATACATACATACATACATACATATATATACATATATATACGTGGAATGCATATCAACTTGGCGGCTGGTAAAACAAATATTTCAGCTTCTGGTTCTACAGCTTATCAATACAGATGTAATCCAAAATGAAAAATCACGGCCGACCCCTTTGTAGGCAGTTTCCAGGACACCCTAAGAGCCCAATTGGGACAAGTCGGGATGAATTCGGAGGGGAGATACTTTTGAAAGGTGGGTAAGAATATGCGATCCAATATACTGTTGTTTGCTGGCATCCAGAAAAACACATGCCATATCTATTCATTTTCCAATATCAGTTTTTCCTAACTATGGTATAAACGGGCACCCAAAAAGCGGTCAAACAAAGCAGAAACACAAGCGAAGAAAAAAGATAAAACATATACAAAAAGCAGATAAGGTGACAAAATGATCCGCAAGGACAGTTAAAAATTAGACGGACCCAAGCTGAGCCACTAAGACATCACGCCGATCACGCGGTTTGGACGCAGTGAAAAACGACTGGAAAGAATGCAAGAGTCAAGAAGTGAGATGGATGAAAATGAAGTGAACAGAATAAAAGAACATCTCTGTTGTTTTCTTTTCTTTGTTCTTTTGAAGTTTATAGGAAAAACACGAGAAAAAATAAGAAATAAAACCAAATTGAAAGAAAGATGAAACACAAAGAACGAATAAGAAATAAACAGGCGGAAAAAGGAAAGGAGGAAAACAAGGAAGAACACAAACGGAAAAAAATAAAGAAAACAAAGACACAAACGAAAAGAAAGAAAAATAACATAAAAAAAATAAAAGGACGCAGGAGAAAGAGGCGGAACAAAAAAAGAAACAAAGCGTCGCGGTGGCCGATTAACAATCTTAAACACCGACTCACACGTCGAAACCAAAGCAAAACCGAAAAAGAAAAAAATCAAGATTGACCAACAAAATTGAAAACACAAATGACAGAAAGAACGGAAAGCAAGACCGAATCAAAGAAGAGAACGAACAGAACGTGTCGTGGTGGACAAGCACGTCATTCACCGACTTAAACCAAGACGAAATATGGCAAAACATGGGGGCAAAAAATCAATAGGACTTCACAGAAAGAAAAGAGAAGACAATGAGAAAGGCTTCAGAAAAACAAGATAAAAATAGGGAAGAGAGGAGAAAGAACAAGAAACAGAAAGGAACGACAGGTTAATGAGTATCATTACTGAAACCATGGAACTGTCATTATTAATAAATAACAACTGAAACCATTATTAATGAATATATATATATATAAATAGTAGTAAGTTCCCATGGAAGCATGGTTCCTTGCTTTGACTCCAAGGACTGCACAAAGATATCCGGCTCTGAGACGCTTGGAGCAGTGCTGTTGAACGGCTGTTGAACGGGGGGGTTCCCTGGAAAGTGACCGCGGAAGGCTAAGGAGGGGATGGCTTTCAAGGTGGATCAACGTTTGAAGAGTTTCTTGAGACCATAATGGGAATAAGAATAGTAGGACCATAATGGGATTATAGTGGGTTATACTGAGAATAGAACCATTTTTTGTCGAGATTTTGGTCACTTTCTGGGGCGATTTTTCTTGTTGTGTCACCCAAATTCATGACTTGCCATAGGTGACTTGGGAGCTCATCCCATCAATTTACCCATGTTTTCCTATCTTTTTCTTGCTATGTTGACTTAGGATGGAATCGTAGACTTGGGGTATTCCCTTCAAAAAAACCACGGCCCCAGACTATTGGATGGCTGCAAAGCCGCGTGGGACGCCTCAGGTGACAAGGACGTCTACAAAACCTATGAGGAGGAGGATGCCCTGGCCGAACAAGAGTTTGTCTCTAAGGAGCCATGGGTTCTATGGCAGTTCTCCAGTCCTCCAAGGTTACGTTTTCGGGTCAGCCATACTCGTATGGCTGAGTTCTAAGTAGTTATCCCATATTTACTGGAGCATTTTTCGATATGTGCTGAAGATAATTGTTTATTGTCCAACGGAATCTATAGTGTTTTTTCTTTTTAAATATATGGGGTTCCAAGAACGCCATTCCAAAACTTTACTCAACGGTTTGATCCAACAGTTGCTTCCAAAACATCTTAGGATCTTTGAGGTCAGTCATGGACTATGTGACATATACTGATCATATACTCACTAGGCAAAAAGGTCAGTTTCTGTCACCATCCCGTCGCATTGTCCAAGCCCAGTGGCCCTGGAGGACTTGGGAAAGATCTTCGGTGAGGAGAATGACCGGGAGACCAACTCGGTCAGGGACGACGATGCTTGGGACAGGATGGGGACGACCCTCCAAGATGCCAAGATGCCAAGATGGGCATGGGGAGATGGGGAGATAATGAACAAACGAAAACTACGCGCAAGTTGCTACTTGGTGGCTCATCCCACTTAGTAAGTGGGTTATAACCCCAGTTATAAATGGGATAAGTAGGGTTAATCCACTTATAATCGGGGTTATAACCCACTTACTAAGTGGGATGAGCCACCAAGTAGTTATGGATCTTCATTCCCAACGTGCTATCATTGGTTTTAACAATGTAAACGACTGTTCGACTGCCTGTGCTTAAACTCCACTTTCTTTTGTGGTTAAGTCCCGATGTTTTAGTCAAAAGCTTCATTGGGACCCCCTGTGTTAATGGGTAGTTAACATGAAGATTCACCATGTTTCATTTATTTAGTCATTCTTGGAAGTGCGGTTCCAGTTACATGATGTTGGATGTATGCATTTTTTTTTTAAAATAGGATAGAGGTTACATCCTAGCTTATGGACTTTAAGTAACCATGGTTACACCTAGCTGAAATCTCCATGTCTTAGGACATGGCAGTGATGGCGACTGCCTTAGCCAACCTCAGCAGGATGAAGGAACAGCTCCGCAACTTGGAACTGTGGGAGAAATCTGTGCGTTTTTTCTTGTAGGGATAAGAAGAGGCTTAGCTGGTTGACTTAGGAATCTTAGGATTATGGTGAACTGAGGACTGAGGATTCTGGATGATTATGGTTAACTGAAGCAACTTAGAATCTAATAAAATCACGTTTGTGGCTAACTTGGGATTATTTGGCTGGCAATACAATAGAGTAACCTCAAAGTTAAGTCAGAACGGATGATATGTCCCACATGGGATTTTGGTTAAATTGTGAAGTACATATATATATATATAAGAGTAAACCATAATTGTGATCAATATTACAAAGTTTTGGTTAATGGTGATTAATCCCACGGGTTACTATAATATGTATATATATATATATATTTCATTGTATTGCTATCCTTTTTTCGGGGGTTTACTATACACATAGCAGTGATGGGCTTGATGTTTTTGGGAACTTATGAACCAAGAGTACTACTGGAACTCCATTGCATGTGCTTTTGCTAAAGAAACGGAGGGTTTTGCCAAGACCAGGTGGTAGGACGAACGAGCCCGACTTGGAGATGTTTCATCAACAATGGGTATTCTCAGGAGGTTATTACTATATCCCCATTATTGCCCTTCATTAACTATTTCTATATACTGTAGATTATTGTAGTAGGGCATATGAATGGGTAGGGCATACTCTGTGTAGGTGAGAAATCGTTTTTTGCAGAGATGGCTCCTTGAATTTCACAGCAAACACTGGAGTCGGGATCTCCCTGGCTTTGTTTTGATGGCTTTTCTTCGATGAATTTGAGGGTATCCTATTGTCATAGCTAACGGAATGTGAAGGGATCAGTGTTTTCCCATTTCCAAGATTCCAAGCATCTGAAAATTGAAGGGTCAATACCACGGTTTCCTGGAAAAAAGAATGGCCAACACAGTCAAAACCAGTCGGTTTCCCGTAGTTATTTTAAAACTTACCCTCCAATGATTTAAGATGTGGAGATTTTCCTACCGGTTTCCCCATAGGCTTTCCCCATGCCAAGGCTGCGTTCAACACCGGCTCCCTAACTGCAGGGTGTGGCGTGGGGGTTGGGACTTGACCAAGAGGATCTACGATTCGGAAAAAATGCTCAACAGGGGGATTATTAATAGGGAAATAAGGTTATTGTAGGGGATTATTGTTTAAAAAACATGTGGTTATTACTATATCCCCACTATTGTCCTACATTAACTACTATTGGCTATGATAGGGGATTCTACTACCTGGTTTAATGGAATTATGATATCCCGTGATATCCCATAGGATTGGGAAACCGCTTTCAAAACCAACCCAACCAGTATTTCATGCGATGGGAAAAGGGTTATTTTTACTGCTTGATTTGGGAAATGGTAAACTCCTCAGTGAATACCTTGAAGGCCCGGAAACTCCTAGGACTTTTATAATTATTCTAAATCCTAGGCGTTTCTGGCTCATCTCACTTAGTAAGTGGCTTATAAACCCAGTTATACCATCTGGTTATTTAACATTGCCATGGAAAGATCCACCATTTTATAGCTAGGTAAACCATCTATTTCGATTAGGGCCATTTTATCATTTTCCAGGCCAAGTTAAATAACCAGAGGGTTTCTTGGGATTTTTGTAGACTTAATCCACTTAATCCACTGGGGTTTTCTTAGCCACAGAACCGAGTCTCGTGGGTAGTGAGCTTCACCAGCTTTTTCGCTGGATTGCCGAGCAAACCATCCAAATCCAGTGCAAAAAACAAGGGGTTTACTGGTTGATTCGGTTGACATGATGATATAAATATATATAAATGTGGAATATTGAATAGTAGTTAGTAGTATAAGTATGTATAAGTAGTATGGATGTTGTAGAAAAACCATGGCGCTTTTTGGAGTTGTTCCCCACCTGCCAGGTGAGGGTTGTTAGATTTTATGTCAGTTGCCTCCTCCTGCCTCCTCCTGCCTCCTGCCTCGTCCTCCTCCTCCTCCTCCTCTCCTCCTCGTCCTCCTCGTCCTCCTTGTCATCCTTGTCGTCCTTGTCGTCCTCGTCGTCGTCCTCCTCGTCCTCCTCGTCCAACTGCGACCCTCAACGCACAGTGTTCTCTGTCGGACCTCAACCACGACCATCCACGCCCAGTGTTCCCTGCCGGACCTCAACCACGACCATCCCCGCCCAGTGTTCCCTGCCGGACCTCAACCACGACCATCCACGTGTTCCCAGTGTTCCCTGCCGGACCTCAACCGCGAGGATCCACGCCAAGTGTTCCCTGCCGGACCTCAACCGCGAGTGCCAAGACCTCATGAGATATGCCAGATAGAATGCCAGAAGATATGCCAGATGGAATGTCAGATAGAATGCCAGAAGATATGCCAGATAAAATGCCATGAGATATGCCAGATAGAATGCCAGAAAGTATGCCAGATAAAATGTCAGATAGAATGACACAAGATATGCCAGATAGAATCCCAGAAGATTTGCCAGATAATATGCCAGAAGATATGCCAGATAGAATGCCAGAAGATATGCCAGAACATATGCCAGAAGATATGCCAGATAGAATCCCAGAAGATTTGCCAGATAATATGCCAGAAGATATGCCAGATAGAATGCCAGAAGATATGCCAGAAGATATGCCAGAAGATATGCCAGATAGAATGCCAGAAGATATGTCAGAATATATGCCAGAAGATATGCCAGATAGAATGCCAGAAGATATGTCAGATAGAATGCCAGTAGATATGCCAGATAGAATGCCAGAAGATTTGCCAGATAGAATGCCAGAAGATATGTCAGATAGAATGCCAGAAGATTTGCCAGTAAGAAAATGTAAAAATGTCACGGTGGGGATCACACGAAGTAAAGTAATTTTTTATTCAAAACCCTCCTCAGAATGTCTTGATCTGGTGCGAGAGGGTTTGAGGCCCAAAGGGGTTCCTACTGTGCCTGAGTAACTGGGCGCCAAGTAGATTTTCACTGATTCCAAGGAGAACTTAAGAACATGTAAGAACTATAAAACTTACAACTGAGACATAGTGAGCTATAGCCAATGCATATCCAATTTTCCATTTGCTGACCAGATTCGATCAAAAAAAATGGTAGGTGAAAAAGGCAGCCAGGCTAAAAACCACAAGAAATCACAACACGAATCATTACCTGTTAATTAATTATCATTAATCCATGAAGATCCATGATGATCACTTAATAATGATGAGTAGTGATCCCACTAATCACTACTAATCATTACCCTCCGGTAAACTAACATAGCTATTGAACATGGCCATAGACATAGTGAGTTTTCCCATTAATAGCATGGCGATTTTCCATAGTTTTCTGTATGTTTACCAGAGGGTATTCATAACTGTTATCATTCGCCATTTACTTTGGCTGGGATCACCATGGATCTTCCCAGCCCAGCACCCAGGATCTTGCAGAACTCCTATGACGAGTGAAGCGGCGACGCAACTGTTCGAGCCATCTGCCCTGGGCCCTGGCCGTACGTTCGACCCATTAAAAAGCGCTTGGGCCAAGAAAGAAGTGGGAATATCATGGAATAGAACCTGGAATATCATGGGATTTTTCATGGGAATATGATGAGAATATGATTGGTCTATAATGGGACGTTTTTTATGGGATTATCATGAGAAAACCATGGGAATATCATGGGAATTCATGCCATTTTTTCCAATGTGGATATTTCATGGGATATCATATGCAAAGTCCAGGTCAACATAAATTCAACCAACAACAATCCGGGGATCGCGCCTGATCATGGTATTCTCATGGTATGTTTACATTTTCGGTCGTGATTTCTTCAGCACGGAAAATGATGATACCCTCTGGTAAACTAACATATTGAAAATAGCCATTCATAGTGGATTTTCCTATTAAAAATGGTGATTTTCCATAGCTATGTTAAATTACCAGAGGGTAATCATTGAACATGCGAGCGAAAATCCGCAGATCATACTGCGGATCGATCTTCGGAAGCCGAAAAGGCTCCTTCAAAGCTGGGAGTCTCGCGGCACATGTCCGCGATTTTGGGACCGAACTCGGGAACTGCTGCTCAAGTTGTCCCGAGAGGATCCTGTCCTAAGAGATGGCTGCGTCCTGAAAAAAAATGGGCCCAGACGAGACAAGGGAAATGAAGGTATGGTTATTGTTATTGCACACTGCTTGAAGGATGCAAGATGCACGTGTATCATTTTGGGGGAAATTCTTTTCGGACAAGTTCATGATTCGGCAGCTGAACATCACGTGAATCACGTGACTGGTTGGCCATGTTCTGACCAGCATGATCAATCTAAATGAATCTAAATGAGACCAATGCTTCTACTTCGACAGTTTCATGGTATGAGAAAGCATTGGTCATGGATGTCATGGCAGCCTTTTGGGGCATCGACTCGGAAGCATCCTCTTTTCGTCGACTCGGAAGCCACATAGACGTCAGCTTTTCACGAGCCCGGACGGAATGTTGGCCGGAGCACATAAGGCAATAGGCCAAAGTCATTTGGATGGTTCTTTGCTTGGTGCTTGTTTTGGTATCGTGTTCTATTTCTGAAACACTTCCATCCAACAAATCTCACCCCCCAAGGAACCACACCGATCCAGTGGTTTATCCCTGAAATTGAGAGTTTTGACATTAAAAAATTCTTCCAATGTCCTCGATGCAGAAGATCCATGTGGTTGCAGTTGTTTTTAAGCAAACCAAGCAGGTTGCTGACTAGAAAAGTTGAGATTTTCCTAAAGATTGGGGATGATCGGATGATCAGAATCCGATATTTTCTGGACCATTTACCAACCAGTTTTTTTGTTTGAACATGCATTATTTGATCGCTGAGACGGCTGAGACTAGTGAGGCTTAATGTCAACATCCCGTCAGCTTGGCTTCAGCAGCTGCGGTGCTAACTTTTTGGCCAAAAAGACGAAAAGGTGCTGTGTCAGGGCATGGTTCGACATGATTTCCTGCCTGGTTCGTAATGAGGTACAAACTACAGTACACACAAAGCTGTTTCATGGTAACTCGCTTGGTTTGTGGAAACACTCCTCTGTTGCTTTAGCATTCTATTGTTTGGGTTACATTATCCCATTCATTCTTGTTCAATCACGTGTTGGAGGGATTGAACGACCCTTTTCTTGCTGGTAACACCGCCATGCATTTCATTTCTGGTGCTGGTCTCCTCATTTTTTGAGAGATCCTCTCATGTGTGTATGGGTCACAAATGGGTAGCAAAGGGGAACAATTTGGTACTTTTCAGGATGACACTTCTTAGATTTAGATTAAACCACCTGTTTTTGGTTGGCAAAGGTAGCCATCTCAAAATGATTTTATTTCTACTTGGCGAATCATATTTCAATTTATATATCCACAACCCCGTTGAATCCACATTTTTTTGTTGTTCATGATATACAGCGTAATATACTAACGCGTTTATTGAAGGCCCCCTAATATCAATAAGAACCAATCATTACATCTAAAGATCTATCCCCATAAATCCAATTCCATTAGGCTATTTTTTGAAACCAGCATACTGGAGATGATACGTCACAATCATAATTATTTTATGTCCCATGATATCTCCTGGTTGGTGGTTAGTTTGGAACATGACTTTTATATTTTCCCCAATAGGAACTGGGATGATGATCCAATCTGACGAACTCCATCATTTTTCAGGGGGGTAGGTTAACCACCAACCAGATATTTTATGTCCCATGATCTCTCGATTATATATGGTAAACCAACAGTCTTGCCTAAGTTCAGCTAGTCTAGCTGTATGTTGCCAGATGTGCCAGATGTTAAGAACTAAGTTGCCCAAGATTCCCCCCAGAGTTTCGCCAGATGTTTGAAGATCAATCATTACCTCGTCCGTAAACGTTGCATACGTTCAGGAGCCAGCGCCATGTCAGCGAGATTTCAAGAGGCGTTTGTTGCGCCGGCTGGGCATGGTGAAACTTCTGCCACTCGCTGGATTGGTTTTCTTGGGACAGTCTGAAACCCGGTTAAACCATGGTGATTTTCCCATGAAATTTATGGTTTCAAGCCTAAATTTTCCCTTAAACCAATCCAGTGAGCTAATGAAATCCAACGAACATCAATTGATCAGAAGGAATTGACCACAAACATGAGGTTAGAGCCGACCACAACATATCCACTTGGCGGTTTGTGAGGAGTCGCATGCAATCCACAAAAAAGTAAACAATGGTCTACAGTAGTAGTATGAAGAAACATAAATATCTTGGGACTAATATGATTTCCATTTTTAAGTTATTCTCTAATAACAATACCGGCAGTATAGGGGGACTTAGCAGAAGACCCTACGTAGTTTCAACCCGTTTCAACTGTAGTATTTCCCTTGAACCCTCGCTTGTGAACTTGTGAACAGTTAAGTTGGTCAATATCCCACTGTTAAACTGCAGGTATGCTCATTTTATCATCAATTTTATCTGGATATTTGACTGGTTGGTGGTTTGGAACATTTTTTTATTTTTCCCATCATATTGGGAATGTCATCATCCCAACTGACTTTCACTCCATCATTTTTCAGAGGGGCAGGTCAACCACCAAGCAGTTATTAATAATTCCATGAAGATCCATGATGATCACATTTCATAATGATAATAATTTAGTGATCCCACTAATCATTACTGTTATCAATGGATTGGTTTAAGGGAAAATCTACAGGAAACCATATTTTTTTCCATTAAATATGGGGCTTTCCTGTAAAATTTCCCTTAAACCAATCCATTGATGTTATCATTACCCATTTACTATCTTAAGTGGGCTCACCATGGGATCACCATGGGATTGGGAGGATGGTCCCCCCATGGCGCGACGCATGACGCGACCAGCGATGGATGCAGAGAAACTCGGAATCGGAATTGCCATCGTTGAATCAGCGACAAAATCAGTAAATCTTGTTGGTCAAGAATCAATGATGATCTATTTGATATTATTTGATGATGAATTAAAACTCACCAACTACTACTTGTGTATTGATGATATATTTGATGATGAAGTTGATACATTTTATCACCAACTACTAGTTGTGTATTGTTAATCCAAGAATTTCCTCAGTTTCACGATGCAGGATCTGATGACAGCCCCGCGTTGCACGCGGACAGCCACGCGTTGCACGCGTTGCCCGCGTTGCCCGCGTTGCCCGAACCCCCGGAAGCACCGCAGGACGAGGCCGGGGCAAGTTACGGAACGGTGATGCCAAGGATCTACTAAGGGACCCATAAGTGAGGATAGAACCCCTATGATTAGTGGTATATACCCTCTGGTAATTTAACATAGACCCTGGCAGATACGGGTTGGAAGACTAGTTTCCATTGAAAATGGGTGATTTTCAGGGTCTATGTTAATTTACTGGAGGGCAACATTATCAAACAGTATACATATAACTGTATCTCATATATTATAATATTAGATAATCAATGGAATGGCACCTCCAAGTAAGCGGAAAAAAATGTGCAGGGAGTGAAACTTAAAATCTGCCCTTACTTAAAAAAATCAGCGGCAAGACAGAGAGAATTCACCAAAAAAACAGTTAAATGAACGGGCAAAGAAAGGGACAAAAGATGACGAACACGACGAACACCAGACAGCAGCCAAACATTATGGTGGTTATTAATGGTTATTGATGGTCATTATGGTGGTTAATGGTCATTATGGTTGGTAGAAGATTATACACATATTAACATTTCGGTTGGCAGAAGAGTGCCATTATGGGATGGTCTGGTCCTCAAAATCTGGACAGTTAACTAGCGAGTTGGTTGCAAGTGTTGGAGAACCAGATGGTCAGATACTGTGGATGGAAGAAATCCTGCACCAGTTGATAGAGGGTTTATCCCATTATTTACAGGTTTTCAACCATCTAAGGTGGTGCAGGATTTCTTCCATCCACAGTATGATCAGGAAGAGACCCTTGAATGTTGCGCGTTTATCACCGTTTATCAGTTTATCCTCAATATCATCACTGGAATGATGAGCCTGGCTTCAATTCAGTTCTTTCTGTCTATGGCGTGCGATTGTAGCTGCTAAAAAGGAGACCAGCAAATGGGATCAGCTGAGCTCAACCTGCTAGATTGATAGATTATCCTCAGTTACATAATGCTACATATGGGGGTTTCCATAAATGGGGGTACCGCAAAATGGATGGTTTATCATGGAAAATCCTGTTAAAATGGATGATTTAGGGGTACCCCCATGACTTTGGACACCTCCATATCTTAGAGCCATAATTGATATTCTGATATACCCTCTGGTAGACTAACATAACTATGGAAAATCACATTCTTTTATAGGTAAATCGACTATAAATGGCAATTTTCAATAGCTATGTTAGTTCACCAGAGGGTATCAAGTTCAGTGTCAGTTGCCATGGATATATCAAAATTCTGTTGAGCTGTGAACTCACCTCCAAATCATCCTAAAATGCCATCGCGACCGTTGTGGAAGACGCTGGGTTGGATCCAAGAACTGTCCTTGAAAACCCCGCAACATAACGCAACTCTCACCGTCACAAAGTGATAGAAAGACATGGGGTCAGTGAACTACCTATTCTTGTCTCTACCATCTTTGTACCAAGTTGTGTTGATTATTCCATCACATTCCATCATATTCCATCTATTACAGTACTCCATCTAATCTGATATTCCATCATATTCCATCATTCGCACTTGGATGCGTCTCAGTTGTTTTTTTTTGGTGTTTGGGGGAAACCCCCACATTTGATGGTGAGGCTCCCGTCACTGCCTTTTCTGTCGCTCCGAAAAAAACATGGCATGGCTGTTTGGATTGGTAAAGGCACCTGTCAGAATATGGGGGTTTCGAGAATGGGGGTACCTCTCAATCATCAAAGTCATGAATGACCATTTTAGTATTCAAACCCATGGTGACTTGGGGATCTTCCATGTTAAGAAACCTCCAAATGTGTCAAATTATGTCAAATGTCAGAGCATGGCTCAGACACTCTGTCAGGATATATGCTGCTGGAAAATATGTCAGCATGTTCGATGGGAATCGCACGAAGTATATGTGGACATCAGTTTGCTTCCTCAGTTGCAACCGGATAAAGCCCAACTATAGATGGCCTACCAACAGTTTCAACGACTTCCTTGATGCACATCATTCCCACCACTGTCCTTTTGCTTTGACCATTCATTTCTAGTTCAGCCCAAACTGTTTCACCAATTGGAGGTCTCCTAAAACAGGGATACCCCATCATCCATTTTAATGGGATTGTCTATCATACACCATCTAGCTATTGGGTTACCCCCAATGATGGAAACCCACAACTATAGCGCACTTTTTTTTGGCATTGCCACTTGAACGCCAACGAAAAAGCTCGGAGAGTTGTGGGATACGGATGGAGATGGGGGGATATGCCTAGCCACTCGCCTAGCCACTCGAATCTTTTGGGTCACCCATTGACAAAGCCATCAATTTGGATCAATTTGGATGATCCTCCAACCCTTGCATTAATGGTAGCCTTAGGATGCTCGTTATGGTATGGGAGCGTCCCCGAAGAAATGAGCCAAATTACTTTACTTTGTGTGATCCCCACCATGACATTTATACATTTTGTTACTGGCAAATCTTCTGGCATTCTATCTGACATATCTTCTGGTATTCTATCTGGCATTCTATCTGGCATATCTTCTGGCATTCTATCTGGCATATGTTCTGGCATATCTTCTGGTATTCTATCTGGCATTCTATCTGGCATATCTTCTGGCATATTATCTGGCAAATCTTCTGGCATATGTTCTGGCATATCTTTTGGCATTCTATCTGGCATTCTATCTGGCATATTATCTGGCATTCTATTTGGCATTCCTTCTGGCATTCTATCTTGCATATCTTCTGGCATCCTATCTGACATGCTATCTGGCGTTCTATCTGGCATATCTTCTGGCATTCTATCTGACATATGTTCTGGCATATCTTCTGGCATTCTATCTGGCATAGCTTCTGGCATTCTACCTGGCATATCTTCTGGCAGATGTTCTGGCATATCTTCTGGCATTCCATCTGGCATTCTATATGGCATATCTTCTGGCATGTCATCTGGCACATCTTCTGGCATTCTATCTGGCATATCTTCTGGCACTTTATCTGACATATCTTCTGGCATTCTATCTGACATTTTATCTGGCATTCTATCTGGCATACCTTCTGGCATTCTATCTGGCATATCTTCTAACATTCTATCTGGCATATCTTCTGGCAAATCTTTTGGCCTTTTATCTGGCATATCTTCTCGCATTCTATCTGACATTCTATCTGGCATATCTTCTGGCATTCTATCTGGCTTTTGAGGTCCAGCGGTGTGCACTGAGCTCGGAAGGCCCCACGTTGAGGTCCAGCGGTGCGCACTGAGCTCGGCAGGTCCCAGGTTGAGGTCCAGCGGTGCGCACTAAGCTAGGAAGGTCCCAGGTCCAGCGGTGCGCACTGAGCTGGGAACGTCCCAGGTTGAGGTCCAGCAGTGCGCGCTGAGCTCCGAAGTTGGCGAAGAGCTTGACCAAGAGTTGGCAAGGCAACAGTGGACGTGGAAGTGGAGGCAGAGGTGGTAGAAGAGGAGGAGGACGCGGAGGAGGAGGAGGGAGGAGGAGGAGAAGGAGGAGGACGAGGAGGAGGAGGAGGATGAGGAGAACAGCTCTGATAAAATCTAACAACCCTCACCTGGCAGGTGGGGAAAAAGTTGGTAACTTCCAGTATGAGCGCATGAAATTACTGTATTGTGATCAAGGTCAATTAGGGTTGAACGCCTCGCGTTTGTTTTCATGCCCTTTTTTGGTGGGGCCAAGAATTCTTTCCGTCATCCCCAGATCAAGTGTGGGGCCTGGACTTGGCTTATGGCCGAAATCTGTCATGAAGGTCTGGAAGCATGCCCGGTCCGAGACAGATGAAGCAGTCGTTGACTTGACTTGGGGCCATCAAAACAAATACTCTGCAAGGCTGCTGCGAGCAAAGAATGAGGTTGCGATGGGAAAAGGGCACAAAAACGCGAGCGATCAAGGGCCCAGTTCAAAAACGACGCCAAATTAGAGCCGGTTGAGGAATCATGCTTGCTAACGGCATTCTTTGGATACTATGTTCACCTTACTTTGGAGGCAGGCTTTGTCATGGTTCAGGGATGTTCAGGGCTGAGCTTTTTCAGCACCAAACAAAGACAACGCCAAGAGAAAGCAAGAGGCATTACTCGATTACAGTGAACTCACCCCGCCCGATCCAAAATCTTGCGTTTAGTTGGGGGGGAGTTCCCGGGAAAGTCGCCCCAACTTGCGTTTAGTTGCGGTGGAGCAGTTGCGTAAGATAGAAAACGAAGCTTTAGAAGTAAAATTTGCTTCATTTAGCTTGTGTTTACACTGGTGAACTTGTTTTTGTCAGGCCTGGCTCCTTCATGTGACCTTCGAACACATCCAGTCACCTGTTTACATGTCGCCCTCTGCCGAAGGGGTGACTTTTCCTAGCAGTTGGGGGGCGTAGTTCCATGCGGGAATGACAGTTGACTGCAACGTTGGGGGACCTTCACCGGCCTTGAGTAAGAGAAAAAGTCCAGAGAAAGAGATGGCAAGCGAAAGAGACGTCAAGAGAAACAGAGGTCAAGAGAAAGAGGCGCCAAGGGACGAGATGTCATGAGATGTCTCAGGAAAGAGGAGTCAAGCAAAAAAAAGAGGCGTCAACTGAAAGGCAAAGAGAAAGATGTGCCAAGAGAGGGAGATGTGACAAGAAAAATGTCAAGAGAAAGAGGTGTCACGAGAAAGAGATGCCAAAGGAAGAGATGCCAAGAGAGATGCCCAGTTACACTGTGTTGGCCACAGCAAGAGGATCCGATACTTTGAAGTGTATGGGTAAGACCCTGTGCCTAGGCCACAACACCCTGTGTGTTTCTTTTGCAGCATCAGCTGAATTCCCACAAGCAAATTGTTCTGAAGCCCTGTAGGAACATATGTTCCAATTGGAAATCCACCACCTGACTTGTGCGGGCCCCTGTGCAGATCCTACTTGTATGTTTACAGTAATTTTTTAGTGAACGGCGAGCGCTAAAGCACTTCAGGTCTGAAACCCGCACAACACAGATGATCCTTTAGTATTGGTTTGAAACTCACACAACACACATTTTCATATGACATATCACCCGCCAGCCTTCTTTTGAAACCCACACAACACACATTCACACACGCATTCATGTGGTTCTTTATGTTTTGAAAGGAAAAATGGCCGAGATGACATTGATCCATCAAACAGTCAGTTGAGGTGCAGCCAAAGATCAACTTCATTTCATATCCTTGGCCCAAAGTGAACTTCAGAGCTTGGGCGGTACATAAATAAATAAATAAATATATATATATATACATACACACATTTGTATTCAAATGTTTATTTATGCAGTTTTATACATATTATATACTTTTATATCATCATATTTCAGGTCGTTTTTTTTACCGTTGTCGGTGATGATTTTTTTGATCCAAAGCGTCAGGTTTTGGAAGTGCCAGACCAAGGCGCGGCTCAAGGGGGGATGGAGGGATTCACCAGCAAGGTGGGACTGAATGGGATTTGATGGGATTTAATGGTGAATGAATGGTGAACTATTGGGATTCAGTTGGGATATACTGGGATTTTACGGAAATTCATGTGATATATATATATAGCAATTAATACGATATTTTGGGTGTACCCAGTTCTAGTCACATGGAGAACATGATGAATTTCATCAATGGATTGAGAAGTACCTCATTTTCAAACAAACCCTTTTTCTTGGGATAAAAAAAATGGATTTGCGAATGGGATATGATGGGGTTTACTGCCGGGTTCAATGGGATTCAAAGTGAGATAAAAAATGGGTTT